TCTCTCTCTCTCCTCTCTCTCTCTATGTGTGTGTGGGGATAGGTAGGCGCTGTGCTCCTAGGGCCCTGGAGTGAAAGAAGCTGCTGGGTTTCTGCCGCCATGCCTACCACAATCTACCACATCACGAACACTTTGGCTGCATGCCGCAGTTGCCAGGAAGCGCTGCTGGCCTGGTCTCAGGAGCCCTGGCAGAAAGCGCGCTGCTCGGTGCATCAGGCGGGAGCTTGTCCGAAAAGTGCTTCGTTCGAAGGAAAAGCGCAGCAGCTGTGCGAGGTGGGGATCGCCTACTCCGGCGACTGCAATTTGCCTCGTGACGAGGAGGAGGCCTATGACTATGGCGCTTGGCCACCAGCTACTCGGAAGAACTGAGCCAATCGTGACTGTTTGTTTCAGCGGTGCTGATTGAATTTGTGTGCATTGAGGTCAAGAAGAGTTCAATAGCGACTTGCCCGCAGAAGACTTCGCGTTGGGTTTTGTTGTGGACAGATCTCTCCAAGAACTTCTTAGTCTTTGGTCACTGCAGAATCAGAACAGTCACAGCCGCGAATGCTGGTAATTGACCGTGTTTTTGCTTGTGCAGGAAGCCCCCCGCCACCACTACACCAAGTGCCCGCAGGCCAGAGCATTTCAGCTGTGATGCTTCTGCCGCATAAACCGCAGTTTGAACGGAAGAAGTTGACGAACATGAAGAGACCTTAGCGACCGCCTGACCGCCTGGGTGAATGTTCGGAATTTGTTAGGCGGGCTGGACCTGTGCGGCTGCTCGTCGGCAATGGCAGGACATGCAAGCTTATGCGTCCCTGTAGAGCTCCGACTTTTTCTACAAGGCTTCTCATTGCTACGCGACCTCGGGTGCAGATTCCCTTGGTGCTGTTTCGCTTTGACCGAGGCTGAGGGCAAAGCTCCCGAAGCCGAGAATGCCTCCACCGTTTCGAGAGACACCCTGGGACCCATCATGCCAAGGCAGGTGTTAACAATACAAAGCGCTAGCCTCGCGACCCCCTCGCATCGCGACGAAGCAAAGAAATGGGTGCTTTGAGAACCTCGTCGACTCGCGCAGGTACAACTTGGTGGTTTGCAGGAACAGACGCCCGGCCGCTTCAAAATGCACGTAGCCACGATGTGAAGGGGTGCTCTTGATTGTAAGCTAGCTTGACATCGGACTGTGCAGGATTTTGCTTAGGTTTCCCTTCGACCGTGCTCAGGTTTCCTGCCCTGGGCCATGGTCCGCATCCAGACAGAGAGCCCCTGGACTTGATCCGAAGTGCGTAGTCGGCTCCGATGGTAAGGATTGATGCAACTTGTGCAGGCAGGGTCTGGCTGCAAGGTGTTGAGGACACGTGAAACTCAGGTCTGCAAAGCAATGTCTCGCAGACACTGAGCTGCAGAGATTCAGAAGGGGTTTCTGCGCTGCGCGAGATGCATGAAGCACCAGATCTGAAGTTTCGGCTGAGGCAGGTGTTCTGTGGTGGGGCACCAAGCTTTAGTGAGGCGAGTTAGTCGCAAGAGGCGGAGAGCGAGAGGGAAGAAACACCTACAAGCACTGCTGCTGCAAGCGTGCGCAAGGAGGGGTGGGTTGGTCCCGCTCACCTCGTAGAGAGAGGAGTGGTAGCAGGATAGGCGGCGAGTATGAGTAGCCGAGTCAAAGAGAGCGAGTCAGCGGTGCAGGTCTTAGCTTTCAGGCGGGATGGGGGCATAGGGTTGGGAGCATTGATCAGACCTGGGGGGATCAAGATATCTCACCATGTCTCACCCAGACGCATGACTTGGACGAGGTGCGACATCGTGGAGGGGTGTGCCTTCAAGTGCATCCCCTCAGTTTGCTGCAGCAGAAGAAGAGTCAGCGAGCCCTAAGAGCGGGAGAGGGAGAGAGGGAGAGAGAGAGAGTAAACCCCCTTGTCCCTAACCCTAACGAAAGAAAGAAAGAGAGTTGCCATTTCACCCCAGCTCAAGTCGACCCGCCGCTTCCTTCCGGGGGCACTCGAGGGTCTGCTGTCTGTTCGCAGCAGGCCTGTTGGGTGGACGTCTCTCTGAGTGGGGGAAGGTTTGAGCGCCGCTTCTCTTAAGAGGCCCTGCAAACCCCAGCATTCCTCGGAACCTGACCGCGGCTTTTCCGGGAGGGTGGCTCGCCGGTAGGGGGGGGAAGAGGCACAACATCATTGTGGAACTCCGGCGGACCGTCCTGTACGACCCGTGCTTTGACCTCGACGATGGCGAGGAGTTCGGAAACCCCCAGCCAGAAGGGGTGCAGAAAGACTCCGAGGCCTGGGAGTGACGTCCAGATCGTGCCTGGACGGACCTTTCCACCACAAACCAACTCCTGCGCAGAAAGCTGGATGATGACGCTACCCAAGACCCACTGTCCAAAGGATCCGGGGGTGCGACTTTGTCAGCTGGGCGGGTGGGAAAAGAAGGATGCGGGGGAGAAAGCACGTCGCACGACAAGGGCAAGGCGAAGTTCAAGCCGTTTGTCCGAGTACGTCAGGTTCGAGACTCAGCAAGGTGCAGTGCTCCTCTACGAGCAGAGTGCAACGACCAGTACCACAAGAAGATGGCCCGAAGGTGGCAGAATCAGCAGGCGATTGGAGAGGACGTGGGAACAAACGGTGAGCGCGTATTTTCCATGCACGTTTTCCTGAAAATATGTGCGCGCTTGGTGTGAAATCTTTAAAGGCAGGGGGAACCTTGCCTTCTCAGGTAAACCTCTCGACACGGCCCGATCTTGCCCACCAATCAGAAGCTCTTTTCAACACACCGTCGATGTTAGCCGTTCCGATGACGCACAAGTCACATTTTGTGTTCAATCACTCAACGGGGAGCAGTTGGGCGTACATACCAGCCGACACACACCAAACTGCAGTCCTTTGGTCTTTGTTGATGTTGGCCGGAGCCTTCGTTCTGGTGTTGCGTTGCATTGGGGTGTGACGGGGAGGCGATCCTTCAGTCACATCACCGTACCTTTGTTTTGCTTTCTTCCCGTTGGGGGATCGCATCGAGCTCAGTTACCTTTTTGCTGCACTTTGCGTGTTCAACTTTGCCGCCCACAAGAACTAGTATGGCAAGAACGGTTGAGCCTAGAGGCGAGCGGGGGACAGTACCACCAGCTACCCACACAGATCGGCGAGCCCGCGCCATTGACTGGCACCGGGGTGCGAGCCGCCGCAGCTTCTTCACTGGGCGGGGGACACCTTGACCTTGAAGATCATTGGGCAACGAAACCGAGAGTAATATCCGCACACCAGGGCTGGCGCGGGGCACTCACCCCAGTCCATACCAAGGGCGCATAACGCGAGGTTCCGGCCTGGTTGCACTCATACTCCAGGGAAAGAAGGCACAAGAGCGAAAGATATCATTAATGAACATAAATCTTCAATGACAACATAGGGGCAAGATTGATGATGGTTGGATCTTGGTTGTCATTCCAGTTAATGCTCGAGAATGCGGTGCTTTCTCAGGTCGAGACACAGGTATGTTTTTGACAGTATTTGTATACTAAGCTTCTAAAGTTGCAAGTCGTGCCTGAGCCTTGGGCACGCCAAGCATCGCAAAGCGCACGAGTTTGCGGTGTCCAGCCACGAGAGCTGAAGCGGGAACGGGGGCATGTGCACCGCAGCCCCTCCTCAAAATGTCAGAGAGAGAGATCCGAGGCGCTAGCTTTTGATAGTCGTTTCACGAGTTCGCCTGAGTCACCGAGGCTACCAGGCCGGCCTGCCGCAGTGGCCTGGGCCTCTGCGAGATGACACAGTCGTTCTGTGCGATATGATGTTCGGTTACCAATTTAGAGCTCGGCGCTGTGAGACCTGCTTAGTTTGGTCAGCCTTTTTCAGGTCCCACACCGAGACTCTAGCAACAGCGCCAGACACCAAGACCATTGTCTCTGAGTGCTACTATAAAGAGTCGTGGTGCGGCTTAAGGCAGAAATTCCTTGACAGCTTTCCACCACGAGAAGGATCGTCTGGTATCTGATCCTGCGGCCACGTGCGTTTTTGATCCTGTCCAGTATGGAACAGTTTTCTTGTGGATCTCTTCGAGCCTATCGTGTACCCGGGAGCATCCGAACCTTGTCTTGCTTAACTCTTGCATAAACCTTCTGGGGCCTCTCATGTGAGAGGCAAATGAACTGACAAAGAGGGCTACTGCGGCTACTGCACTCGCACAGATGGTTTCTTGGCGGCGTAATTGCACTTCCGCCACAGGTAAACCTGCACCTCCAAAATTGTGTACACTTTGGCCCCGGACGCCATTGCAGCAACGTCTGGGATTCCTGTTCTTCTGGAGGGTGATTGAAAGAGCCCGTGGATAATTTACAAGCTTTGATGAAAACCGTTCATCATGCGACTTCGACTGGCCACTCTTGCCATGTTTTTCAGTAACAGCTCGGGCGGACACAGGGGTTGCTGCCTTGCGGGAACTCTGCGCTAGACATGCCATCACTGCGAGGGGTAACCGATGATGCTGCGTGGCTTCCTGACAGGTTCTCAACAGGGACGCCTTAGGTCACAGACGTAGGTCAAGGCCTTCCACCATCGGCGCAGTGCAATGTCGGCAGCAAGTCCCAATGTGGCTTTGACAGACGACAGGGAAGCGAGGCGCCTCGATGTGCACAAGAAGACCCGGCTGTGCAAGTTCTTCGCCGTGGGGGCCTGCACACGTGGCTCGAGCTGCGCCTTCGCGCACGGGTCCGAACAGCTGCGTGATCAGCCAGACTTCTCGAAAACCCGACTCTGCGCGGACTTCGTGGAGCTGGGCAGGTGCACCGCAGGTCAGGCATGCAGATTTGCCCACAGCAAGAGCGAGCTACGACCGGGCTCGGCAGCCAAAGTGGGCAGGCCATCCAAGCCTGCTACTGCGACTCCAGTCACCGCCACTTCAGCAGCGCAGCAAAGTGAAAAGAGTCACGTGGAAGCAGCAGCGCAGGTCCTCCAGACTTTGCGTGCGCAGCATGCTCTGCACGAGCAGGCAGCACTGAAGCTGATGCTGCAGTCTGCGTGTGCAAGGGCACCAGCGCCAGTCAAGCCAGTCAAGGCAACGGTACAACAGGAGAAGGATGAGAAAGATGTGGAGTGCTGCTTCGACAGCAGCGGCAACTTCAGCCGCCAGACCACTTGGGAAGGCATGGAGACAGCCTCCGCGGGGTTCAGCCGCGACTCCTCCACTGCCAGCGCCTCGGAGAATGTCGTTGCTCCGGAGCCCTCCTCGGGATTGGAGCTGCGAGTAAAGAACACTTTCCTCGAAATCCAGGATGAGCCAGAGCGGGAAGTTTCCGGAATGCGTAAAGTTCGGTCCCTGCCGCTCCTTCCTGGAGTGGCCTGAAGGAAAAGCAATGAAACGGCTCATGAGCGATGCATTGTCGAGTGTTGATTACTTGAGCAGCGCTAGGTTCAAGTACCAACTAGTCAAATTCAGGCAGCGCAGCCCCATCCACCTGTTAACACTTGTGGGTGGCACCGCTGCAGCGCCAACAATGTTTGAAGTACGCAAGCGTGGCCGTGTTTGAAGAAGGGTAGTGGTGGAAATTTTGAGCTGCTCTCTGCCAGCACTGCTAGAACTTGACATCTTCAACAAGGTTGCAAGTGCGTGGTGCTTGTCTCGCAGTAGGCAAAACCACGGCCATGGGGCCTGTTTAGCAATTGCAATTAAGAGCAGTGTTGCCAGAGGCCCTTCACCAGGCCCACGTTTCACACGTGCATCATACGGGTGTCTGTCGAAGACTGACAGATGCATGCGGTCGAGTAAAGGCCCACCGCACAGGCAGGATGTCGAAATTCAGCTTCTACTATTTTCCCACCCTTACCATCCCCTACCTGCCCTACCTATATATATCTCTCTCTATTTCCATATAACTATGTCATGTCATGCCCTGCAAACATTTGGACCTGCGACGTGACGGAAACCCAGGTGCAATGGCTGTAAAGATGAAGCTTTGCCCAGCTCCTGGCCCAGATGGCAGCCGCATGATCGTGATCTACTACATGTCACATGTATACTTCTGGATCTAGGAACAGCATCGGGTGTCAGTTCTTGTTTTGCGGCGCATAGATGCGGATGCTTCGCAGAGAGACGAGTTTTTGAAATCGAGGGCCACCTGTGCCCACAATAGGCGCACTCAGCCTGAGAAGGCAGTGCGTGAGCTGGCGCAGGCAAACAAGTTCTGCCCACACTCAGCTGACTTGTGATTCATCTCCCAAGTCCAAGGTTGCCACCGCAATCATTTGTCAGGAAGCTGCACTTGCTGGGTGCTTGCGCTTCACGGAAGCGGATGTCATGCAGCCGCGCCCCCAAGACGTCGCTCTGCAGCCTTCCCTCTAGAACCTACTAGACTAGAGAGAGTATGTCCGGGTGAACAGCCAGAACACAGTGTATAGTTTCTGTGCGTCTGCAAGATCCGAGTCCTAGGTTTCGCTGCAGAGGCCCTCTCTTTGGGGCTCCCGAGCTGCCAGACAGGGCACGGCCGCCAGGCGGGATGAGACACAGGTCGCTGTCGAAACGAGGTCATCGCAGCCCCCGTGAAGTCGTAGACTGCAAGTGATTATCGAGCTTGTGCCACGAGCACTCGGGCTGACAAGGTAAGTTGTTCTCCATTCAAGAGGATACTGCGCAGTTGCACAGTGTCCCACCTCGTGCAGAACAGGGGCTTCTGTTCTCGGTGCGATAGCTGGAGGTGCCCCGAACGCAACAGTGCTTGCACAAACTGGGTCGGCGTGCGGCCCATGCTCTGCGACTTTCAAAAGCCTGCCACGCAGGTAAAACAAGAATCTAGCGTTTGCGAAAGACAACAAAGAATCTTAGTATGTTGATCGAAGAGTCGTTTCGTTCGCCGTGATGGGTAACGGACAGTGCGGGCCTCAAGATGACTGCTGCCTTGCAGCGGAGGCTGAGCCGAACCAGATTGCTAGTGGCTGGGCCGGCAGCCCAGTATGACTGGATGACTGGATGAGGGAATGAATCGTCCACGAGGTTCCTGGTGGCATTGCTTGCCGGGGCTCTATGTTTGGCCGAATGAAGCTTGGCGGTGCTCGTCGCAACATTCTGCATTTTTCATTTGCTTGTAAGTCTCGGGGTAGTAACACACTATAGCTTCTGGGATCTTCTGAGATTCGACACTGATGCATTTGCGTTGTGGGGCACCGCACATACCGCACGCTTCGGCGAAGAGAAACGCAATCCACTCTCCAGCGAGCCGGTAGCCGTCAACAACTATGCAGGAACAGATGTCCAGGCATGTAGTTTGATTGTTGAGCTTTTCATGCCTTGAGTAATTTGCGTGTTTACTTTTTACTTCGAAGCAGATCATGACCTATACCCTCGGTGCACTCGCTGTTTTCAGCCTTCGAGGCTGTGCAGTGATGACGCCGGATGCACCGACGACGGAGGCAGCTGAGCTTGAAGTTGAGTTGAAGCAGAGGTGCGTAGAGGAGCTCATGCCTTGTGAAGGACGCCGTCTCGGTGGAAGAGGAGCCATCCGTTTCGCTTGTTCGAAGTAGCTTGTTTCTCAGACTCTTGCAGGAGTTGCCCTCGGAGACTTTATCAGAGCGGGTGCGCCGCGTTCAGCAGCAATGGAGCCTCTTCCGCGCAGGGCGCTTTGCATCTCCAGATTCCCTGAACTCGGGCCGTTGCTGCGGTCGTTGCCGAATGTTGCCGAGGCATCCTTAGTGCGGGAGTATGAGCCTCTGGGCTCGGCAAGGGAGGTGGTGTACAACCGTCCGTGAGGACTGCCATGTCCTGTCTGCTCCGCAGCAGTCGCCACAGGATGTTCAAGCGGCTGTATGGCTGCCATGCGCGTGATGCACGACAACCCACTTGCAGGAGCAGAATTTGCTGGCGTCTTCTGAGAGCTCCAGGTCTGGTTGCTCCAAAGACTGGGGCGTCAGGTTTCACCCGACCGCACGGTGGCGACTCGCGTAGCGTCAAACACAACGAAGGCGACTCTCGCTAGCGCAGCCGCGAGTTGGTCAGTACGCAGTACCATTCAGACTCCAACCTATTCGAGGAGGCTGGTGACCATGGGGGGGAGAGTCACTGTGTCTGGGGCGACATGGGTCGTGTGAAGGCTTGGTTTGCGTGTGTCCTCAGCTGATATTTGCTTGCGTTTGCTGGGAAAGTCAAGTTATGCGTCTAGTAGGGGCAGAATGGACAGACCAACAAGGAGCACAAGACATACAAGGCTAGCCAGCCTCTAAGTCTCACTTCCTTTGCCGGTGCCCCTCGAGATCTGTTTGAGACCATCGAGCTGAGCCAACGCCAACTTAGCCGCATGTAGCAGTGCGCTTATAACGTAGGTGGCACACAGAGAATGCACGTTAGAAGCAATGGGTGGCAGATGCGCGTTCAAGCCCCAAATGCCAATGATTTGCTCCCCATGACGATGCCTGACGTCCTGACAGTGCCTGACTGAGGCCCATGATGCGCTTCTCTTTGCTTTGACGGGCTTGTCGGGGGCAAAGTACAGCACGCCTTCAAAAGGAGTACTCCGTGTTGCCGTCGCCATCAGGTTTTGGGAGCTCTGCTCCACCGCTGCTGCGCCCGGCGATGTCGAGTCAAAGGACAGCCTTGAAAAGCTGAGCCCCGAATTTCGTTGATGTCGGGGATCGGGCTGCGAACCTGTGATTCATAATTACAATGATTACAGGTCTTGACAGATGCCTGCTGCTGCGTGCAAGGACCCGGCAGACTGGGCTGCAGGTGTATCCGAGGCTGGCAAGAAACGCAGCGGCGAAGTTGCAACAAGGAATGCCGAGCCTCAGGCTGTTTGGCATCGTGGCGAGATGCCGAAACAGACGGACTTTTCAGTGGTCGCCTAAGGTGGCACGTGAGGGGATGTTTGCACGTGGACCGTTACTGTTGGGAAGCTGAGGAAGGTTTCGAGGCTGCCACCTCGCCTTGGGCAGGTCACAGGCCGTGGGTGGGACATCCGTGGTTGGTTAGCTGATCCTGACTCCATGCGTCCTTTGTCCCCTGCTTGCCCATACTAGCCGACAGTTGCAATGCGCTTGCCAGCCAGACCCTGAAGTAGGGAGTTTGCGGTTGTGTCATCATCGCGCTGGACGCTGTCCACGAGAACCCTGAGCTTCGAAGCTTCTATCTTCGGCTCTTCTTGTTCCCATCCTAGGTCCAGGCTTTGCTAGGCACAGGTTTGGCACGATGAATCCAGAAAAGAAAGAGCTTCGTGAAGTCGTGTGAGATGCTTTTGCATCCTTGGACAGGTTGGACCCGAGCAGGCACAGAAGGTACCCGCCAAAGCTGTTGCAAGCCTTTGCAATTCCAGACTGCAGCCTCTTCTTGATGTCGTCTCCGAATCGTCTCCCTGTGAATGGCCACGACAGGGGCTGCATGTAAAGTTTCCACAGAATGAGTGACGCGGCAGACATGCGACGACCCCGGAGATTGCAAAGTCCTTGCATGTCTTTGCAGACTGAGATGAGACGGAGCCTTGTGAGATCTTGTAAGCATGCATTATTCTGCGCCTTCTAGAGCATCCATCCGAGAGGGCATCCCATAGTTCTGTTTGTCTCGTCAGCCATGTCGCTATGGCGTCCGACTGCCGCTTCTGCAGCATCGGGAAGCTTCCTTGGAGTCGCGCCAACTGCAGAGGGTCGCCGGTCTGCCCCACCTCCATCGGGGCTGGATGCCATTCCAGGCTACTTGTAGTGGTGTGTTTGTCGTAGCGAGAGTTTGAGTTGAAGCCGGCATCCCTTGCGAGGAGATGACCGACAAGGGGGTCTAGATGCCCCCGTAACGCCGATGTCGCCCGCAGCGGGTTCGCCTCGGCAGCCGCGGCTCGGGAAGTATCATCAGTATTGGTTGAGCGCGAGTGCTAGACAAAAAGTCATCATATTGTCCAAGCATGTCCAGATCCAGACAGATGCCAGGAGCACATGAGACATCTGTAACAACATCCAAGGTTCATCATGCCCAACATGGACCCCTTGGTTAGGCAACAAGGCCAGCACACTAGGGCTTTTTTGACATATCTCTCTCACTCAAACACCACGGACCCAACTGTGCGAGGTCTTGCCTTTCAGCAGTCAGAGCCTCCCGTCTCAGCTCATGAAGCCTGACTGCCCGGAGCGTGAGGAAGTTTGATACTCACCAGCGGAAAGCTGAGGCTTCTTCGGGAGCAGTTCATGAAGTTCGCAGAGGCCGGGGCACGCTGCATGTGCACTGGCCATGATGTGAGGACAGTCCGAACCTGCCACGGTGTCGGAGTCGCCTGAGGCTTTGCAGAAGCTGCACGCGGGTCTGGAGGAGATGCGTGCGCACCTCAGACTTGTTCTTGCGTCAACGTGCGACGGTTGTGGCTTTGAGGCGAGGACATCCAAGCAGACCGGCAGCAGCGGCTCCACGAAAAGGAGAGACCTCGGCACCCATTCGAGCCCAGAGCAGTCGAATCCACCCCTTGCATATCCGTGCGTGCAGCTAACCTTCCCTGCCATCGCGTTGTTTAGTGCACAGGATTCCGTTGCAGCTGCTCTTGCATCTATTCGCAACGAGGCAAGATCGACCCGGATAGACTTCGGAGTCTGTTGGAGAGCAGCCCAAAGTTGGCGCAAGGTCCACGAGCACCTGGAAGAGCGGCTGTCGATTCTGCACGAAGAGGCGGCTGTGTGTGGAACTTTGATCACTATGTGGAAGCAAACAGCTCACAAGTCTTCTTGACGCTGAGCTGTAGGTTTTTGGAGATCTGCAGGTGACGATGCGCAGTCGAAGCACAGATGGTGAGCTCCAGCGGCTGAGCAGCTGCACCGTGGCATGTTCAGTTCCGGCGGACATCAGCCCTTCCAGCCTAGTGACATCTCCTGGTAAACTCAGGCGGTCTTGATACAGTAGGTATTTGGGGGCAGTACCCAGGCCTAGACAGCATTGCGCAGCAGATCGGGGCGCAGCTCATGGCTGTGACAGAGGCGAGGTCTTCAATTGCTGGTCGAAATCGGACTTTGCGGCCGGTGGCTTTGCCAGGATCAGCGCGCGCTGTCTGAGAATGTCCATACCAGAATGACTGAGTTTCAGAACTCCTTCAGCAACTTGGCTTGAGAGTTGCAGATCATGCAAGAATGTAGGCTCGTGGCACAAAAGTGCTGTTGGGAAGTGGCCCGCCTGCAGGTGACAGCGCTGCGAGCCGGGCCATGCTGGATGACTTGGGGGCCCAGGTGTCCAGTGAGGAAGTCGCAGCATGCTTTCTGTGTAAACTTTCTGCATTCTCTTTTCTGTGTGCCTACATTGTTTCATATTCTTATTAGTGCCAGCCGTGGGACGGTTTACAAAAGAAGCAGCAGCCTACTTTACGAGCACCTCTTCGGTAAAGCTCTAGCGCCCCCAGCAACCTTGGTCTGACCAACCGGAGTTTATAAGCTCGACTGAAGGTTTGTACAACTCTGCCTCCTGGGTCACTGAGTCACGAAACAGCTTTCAACTTCGGCAAAATTGAAAACGTGTCAAGCGCGCCCCACACATTACATAGGGCCACTGATCATAAAGATCTTGTGATTGAAGTATTGTTTAGATGCCTACATACCAAGAGTTTCGGGGAGGGGTGGGGGGCAGGGGAATACCTCAAAGTATGTATCTGTGTTGAAACGGAAGGGGGTAGGTTTCGGGCCGCCAGAGGTGCACGTAAACATTTGCCAGCCCGCAGTTAGTCCCTATCGATGTCTTCGGAATCCTGCGAATCCTTCGCGTATTCTCTCCTGTGTTGGTCGGTGGCCGGTATCATGAACATCCACATACAATGTTTGACTACGGACCTCAGTTCTCAAACACGAGGTAGTCTGCAAGGTCAATATGCCGAGTTGCCAAACATGTAGCTGATCATCAGGGAGGAAAAGTGCTCAACTGCGTCGTTGAACACGCCGTTGCAAGGCCTCCTCGCATGTAGGGTACATGCATCAGGTCGCAGTTTCGATTGTAGCGACTAGCTGGCATGAAAGTTTCATGCCAGTTAGGACAGCGCAGATGCCAGAGCCGGGGCAGTACTCTGACAGTGTGCATCAGTGAAGCTTTCAGATGCCCGAGATGGGTGACAGACTTTTCTGCGCAGGTGGAGGCCAAAATCCAGGGTGCTTTGCAGACTGGTGCCACGGCACTGCACGAGCGGGAGGCCAGCCAGATGAGTCCGAGCAGAGCTCGAGTCGCGAGTAAAGCGTCCAGGAGGTGCTTGTTGAGAAGATTGCCAATGTGCAGTCGGGAAGCCCAGTAGCCGTCTTGCCTCGACCGGCTGACGCACAAAAGAGAAGACTAGGCATCGCAAGAGACAGCAAGTCTTAATGAGACTGAGAGAAGGGACATGAAGCTTGAGAAAGAGATTCGGATTCATGTCCAGGACCGAGGCTGCCTGCGAAGCGGAGCAGTGGAAGCAGCGATTCCACACTGTGGAGACTGCTTCGCAGCAGCTTTGTACAGAGATTCTCGGCCGAAAACATGCTGTGGAGACATTCTGTCGGTGGGCAGTCAGTTACTAACTTCTGCGCCTTGACATGCCTTGACCATGCAAGTAACTTTTCGGGATACTGTATGGCCAACTAGAAGTCCCTGGAGAGGAAGACCAAGCCCGACCAGATTGGCTGGGATTCCAGTTCAGTTCATGGCAGTGCTGATGGATTATGAGGTCGTGCCGTCCAGTCGCATCCAGTGCCCAGATTTTGGAGTTCTTAGGATGGCAGCCGAGCACCAGCAGACTCGCATCTCTGCCATCGGCCTCGCCACAGAGTTGTCGGAGCTCCGGGATGCCCTTGCGAAGGCAGGAGCTTCAAAAGTAAAGAAAGGTGCCGAAGCCTCCGGTGGCCCTCCAGGAGTCGCAGTCCTACCAGGAGTCGACCACATCGGTGCAGCGATGGGTCACCGAGACCATGGCTCTACGCCAGTCCCTGGAGGAAGAGGCAAAACCCGTGGGGGTAGTTCCGGTGTTCCTGTAAAGGGCAGGCAGTGTCAGTCGAGTCAGGAATTGGCCCATGCGGCTTTGAATGGCAAAGTGGCTGAGCATGCCGTGGAGTTGCAGCGGCAGGCCAGCAAACATGACTGCGCAAACAGGGACATTATCGCAGCTAGGGTTTGAGGAGCTTGTTTGGCGGCTGCAAGCTCGTTTCCCAAGATTCCTTTCAGTAAGTGCTCAAGTTGGGCGCTTGGGGCTCCAAGACATGGGCTCCAGTGTCCAACTCGATCGGTCCAGAGTGCACGGGCCATGTTGGCAAAAGGCATTTCTCAAGCGAGCCGAGGGTTGTTCTGCTGCATTGAAGAGGTGGCGATGTCGAAGGGCCTTGCGAATGCACACGCCGAGTTCAAAACCGGCAAAGAGGAACTTTGGCCGCGCAGCTGCAGCTGGCGTATGTTTCTGTTCGGCATGAGCATGGTTGTAATGGCATGAAGCAGGCGATGCGCATGGTGAGTTTAAATGGACTCCAGTTGCAAGTCTTTTGATGTCATGTGCGCATGCGCATCAAGCCCCGTGAGTTTGAGATGTTTTCGAGGCAAGTCGTCACTTCCGCGCAAGAGAACAGCGAGCAGACAATGAAGGCCCTGTGTGTCCCGATCGCCATGTGTAGTCTCAACTCCTCAAATCTGCTCATAAAGGACATCCAGGAGCTACGGCTTCGCACTCAGCACATGGAGGTGCAAAGGTTTGGGCAGGCCAGGGGAGCAGTGCATCAGCATGTCACCAGCTCCATCGAGTCGATGGTGCAGGTGTCGAGGCAGCTAGAGGAGAGCCTTGGCTTTACCTTCGTATGCCGGAGTCCTGGTCCTTGCATGCTCCGAGAGTGCCGGATCAGGTTGACTGTGCAGCATTCTGCTGCCTCCTCGAAGATGGAGGAGATCGAACAGTCCCACAACCACGGCCAGAAAGCCTTTGCCTCCAAGCTGGACAGCCATGCTCAAAGCCTGCTGCTCCTGGCTGCAACTATCTCTGGAGCGTTGCAGGTAGTAGGCGGAGGCGTGAGCTGCGAAACACAAGCCCAGGCAGGCACAGCAGGAAATCAAGCACCTGGTGGAGCAAAGTGCCCAGCACGACTTCATCGAGAGCCGTGACCAGCAGTCGCTGACCTGCACGAGCAGAAACAGGGAGCTTATAAGATGCTTGAATCCAAACGCCTTGCCTGTCTCAACCGGCAAGGTATCGGCTTTATGTAACGATGGACGGGGACATTGGCATTTTCCGGCGAAGCGGCTGGGGCAAGCACGGACCTCCAAGTGCAATAATGGCACTGCAGAGAGACCTTCTGAGATCTGCTGAGACTCACCGGAATGCGTTCCTTTGCAGCTGCAGGAGGAGGCGACTTTGCCGCGGTGCCCAGGTGGCATGCCGGAGCCACTGGGGACAAGGCACTCTGCTCCGTCAACAGCGACTGGGATGGAAGTGTCCCGCAGGTGCTATTGAGTGGGTAACTCCACGTCTTGATACATGATATAGTATACAGATATCGGTAGCATCAATGCTATGACAATGCTTTCTCTCATGGTCCCGTCGTTAGGATTCGCCTTCGGTTCTGTGAGCTTGCACCTCAGGAGAGACGCAGGCTTACGAGAAGGACCGCTTTCTCGCCATGGCGAATCGCTTTGACAGCCAGCGCTAGGTGAGAGCGTTGTTCCGAGCGGCTTCAACGGAGGGGCTATGTTTCAGCCTGTCCAGTGACAACCGAAGAGCCCACAATCTGCAGCCCGCAAGGACGGGTGGATGTCGGGAGTGGGACCGGTCAAAATGGCTGGTCTCCACAGCCGAAACGCTTCTCCAAAGCTGGGCAGGAAATGACCCCACCCGTCCTTCAAGAAGAGTCGTGGAGAGGCTGCACCCGGTGTCCTGCTTTGTCCAACTTGATGGTGGATGTTGGTTGGGTAGATGACTGTTTCCAAAGCAGAGACAAAGTAGTGCAAATGAAAGCCAAATCGAGGTCATGCATGAGCTAAAGGCTCTCAGGATCTCATGACTTTGCTTCTGGCGCCTCACTCCGTGCTACACGATGCAGGGCGGCAGTGCACAAAATAAAGTCCCACTCCCTCAAATCGCTGAAGACTCCTGAAACTCGGAAACCTGGTCAACAGCCACGCCAAAGGCCCACAGATTTTATCGGGGCCGAAAGCGACGAGGTGTACTTGGATGAGGCTGGGTCAAAGCTGCAAGTCGGAGGAATGCGAAGTGCATGCTATGGGGCCTGCAACTTCAAGCTGAACACTCAAGAACGGCCGTCTTTACCTAGCTCGCATTCAGCACAGACTGCTGCCATGTCGATCATCTGGGACAGTATAGCTGCAAGCTGTGTCGCTCATGAAGTTTAATGATTTAATGAAACCTCGATCTCCTCCCCACTGCGCGGCGGAACCGTTGCGACCCCTCTCGCCACAAGTCTAGACTCTATATAGAAGGAGGCAAACTAGGCTGAGATTTGGCCACGCCATGATTCCAGCCGCGCAGCCTCTGAGACTGCGTGCATGGCTTGCGGTCCCTCCACCTTTGGCATCGCCGCCAAATGACGTCCGGAGGCCAAGGCCTCGGCGCCTTTTGCGAGCCTCGGCGGAGGCCGAGCTCCCCTTGAGGAAGCGCTGGCCTTGGTCCAGCTTCCGCGGAGTTCCCGCGGCGCAGGGGCTCTCTGCCCTGGTCGCTTGGTCGGCTTACTCAAGGCTGCGGGGTCCGAGGACCTTCTGTTTCACCGCCCTCCTGGTGTCGCGACTGGCTCTCCTACTGAATTCCGTGATGTTTGCCTCACTCGGGCGGCAAGCCGATGGCCTCATGGGGCCAGATGGAATCTCTCCGCTTGTGCCGAGCACTGACAAGGAGCAAGGCCCAAGCTGGTGGGACAGCTTGCTTCTAAGACACTTGCAATGCGCAAGGCCTAGCCACACCGCTCGTTTGTGTTCGATCGTTGCGATTCTTTCTTGCTTCTTGCCGGTGTGTGCTGTCAGCGGGATGGCTGTTGGACTTATCCTGGTATGGCTGTCGGTGGTGTACCGTGGCTACATGCAGGTGGACTTCTTGCACTACCAGTGGGATGCCTTGGCACTGGAACTTAGCGCCCTGGCAGCCGTTGCTGCTATGGCAAGCATCCCTCGCTCCTGTGTTGTGAGGGAGGGCTGTGCCGCCCTCTCGATGCACTGCTTTGCTCTCCTTGGCTTTAAGCTGATGTGGGGCTCCTGTCTCTGTAAGCTATTCTCCAACTGCCCCGAATGGAATTTTGGCACGGCCATGCAGCACCATCATCGCACCACGTGCTTACCAAAGCCTTTCGCCCGCACGCTACACCACTGGAGCCGGAGCTCTTCTCGATTCTCCGAAGCACAGGTCCAGGCTACACTCTGGTCCGAGGGCCCCTTCTCCCTCCTGGCACTGCTCGGATGGCCCGGGGGCCGGATCCTCTGTGCGCTTCTCTGGTGTCTCTTGATGCTCACCATTGCAGCTTCCGGGAATTATGGCATCTTGCCTGCACAAATCACTTCTCATCTGCAGGGTCAGGGAGGTATCCCAAAAACACGCTTCCGCCATCAAGACAAGAATCTGTGATTGGAGTTCAGGCCTTCTCACAGCGATGACAAGCCTCCCCCCGGCCACCCAGAGCCAGGATTTGGACTTAAGCATACTGTGAGAACTTATTTGCTCGAACTGTTTGCGAAAGGGTTGCCTTTGTTGGCTGTTTGCAGTATTTGTTCTTCCCTTCCAGGCTTCTTCAACTTGCAGACATGCGTGATCGCAGCGGCGCTTCTGGACGACAAGCAATTGGGACGTGGGGTCTGCTACCCTGCGCGGCCCGACCTGCCAACGGCGCTGCCTGCGTGGTTTGTGCTTGATGGCATCCCGTGGGCGCTGACTTTCTGCTATTGGGCCATGTACAGCGCAGCGACGGTGTCGGCCATCTACCGTATCAGCCGTGTGCGGCCCCCGGTGCTCTTTCGACAAGCCGAGGAGTTTCTGTCGTCCGCCCAGCTCGCTTGCCGATACGGCCTGTTCGCAAGGATGACGACCACCAGAGATGAAGTGGTGATACGAGAACTTCACACGCTGCCCCAAGATTTGGGTCAACTGGCCATCAGGGACGGCCTGGCGACCAAGGCCGACGGCAATACGTATTGGGTGGAACTGGTCTTCCCGCATAAGCCTGGCCCTCTAAGTCGTCGCCCGCCCGTCCTTTTCACGCACATGCCGCGATTGGATTGGCAGCTTTGGTTTGTCTCGTTGCAGTGGGCGCAGAGTTCCGACACCCCGCCCTGGTTTGAACACTTCCTGCAGTGCCTGCGCGAGCGACGCGCGAGCGTCCTTGGGTTGGTGGAGCACAAATCACAGCACCCCGTGCAGGAGCTCATCCTGCTGCAGTCGCCCAGAGCGACACGTGTTAGTTTCGAAGATTACGAATTTTGCATGCCCGGCAAAGACATTGGCATCACAAAGACTGATGGCAGCTGGGAGTGTGGAGAGTGGTGGTGCCGGAGATCCGAAGCGCCCACCTCCAGCCCGTTTCAGCAACTGGGAGAATGGACGGATTGGTTTTCCTAGGACAGTCCTTCCAGGATCTCTGAATGGAGTCCGAGCCATCTTCGCAACTCTCGAAGGTCCGACGGATGGTTTGGGCCATACAAGTACTGCTCCCGAATACAGGCAATCTCCTGGAGGAGCCTTCAAGGTTCCACTCCTCGACGAGCATCTCCGCATTCCGGCATGTTCGGGATCTTAGAGGTCCAAACGGTGCACATAGGACGTAGGACAAAGTGCGCATGCTGGAGATCGAAAACCGCATCTGTTCGCTGGAAGCTACTTCCGAAGGCGACGGCTTCTGAAGTTAAAGAGGGCTTGCTGCAACGGCGCCGCATCTCAAAAGATTCAAATTCCTGAATGTAAAGACTTCATTCGTTGCAAAGCAGGCAGCCGGCCGCAGACCATGAATGCATCGGAGCTACGGGAGATAGTGAGAAGTAGAGAATGACAGAGGGCCAGACCTGCATGTTTCGTACCTGTGAATATCTGTACCTGCAACCAGAAAGGTAGTTGTGGGGCCGGGTTGAGCGCGTCCGTGGGGCAGACTGAAGCAAGCGGGCCGCAGGCTCCCATTCCGAATATGCAATCCTTGGAGCAGATCTCGGAGAAGGCCCGAGACCATTTCCTTCCACCGGCATCGTGCTGGTGCAACTTCTCGTGACAGGAGCCGGTTCCCGAGTCCAAGGACGTCGTACTGGATGAGGACACTAAATGGTCGGCTTCTACAAGTAGAGTCGAGGCACCTTTGATTCTTCGATGCAGGCACCAGTGCCCGTCGGAGCACACGTTCGGCTGTGGCGGCATCTGAAACACTCATGGAACCTCTTGCAGACGCATGTGGGCTTGATTTCCCGAAAGAGCCCGGGGCCTGGCTGCAGCTCATCGAATGGGCGGGGGATCTGTTCCAGCATGCAATCGCAAGATATGTTTCCCAGGCGTGCCGGATCCTGCCATTTTGATTCTGGGCCTCCTCCCCGGATGACGATCGATCATGCTGCGACTGCGCACTCAGCACGTCCAGCGCGTAGTGCATAGCTGCTGACGCCCCAGGCCTGCTGACTACGATCATCGCGCTGACGTTGGCGATGGCACATTACTTGGACGGTTTAAGCATTCCAAAATTCCGTGCTGTGAGGGTCCCTGTGCAGCCAAAAGCCATCTGCTAGAAAAGCAGGGTTTCATCCAGGATTCCATGCTCTCCACGGTGCTTCGCATGTTGCGCCATCTTACAGTGTTTTTTTGTAAAGTCTGGTGAGCTCTATCGCATGGAATCACTAAGCTTGTGCTCGCTCGCTAGTTGCCCGGTATGGTTGTTCGTGCTTTCAGGCTTTTTGCAGCGCCGCGAGCTGTCCTCAGCTGTACACTGTTTATTGAACTCCGAAGTGAAGTGTCCTGGTGTGCAGGATGCTGCGCAGGATGATATGGAGGTAGTGCTGCATGGTCCGAGCTCGGTGACTCAGGCCGGTCCCACGTCCAAAGGTGGAGGAAACGAAGCGACCAGTGACGCGCTGTCCGGCCAAGAACTCGGCGGCGGTGATTTCACTCAGCATCCGAACAAGCAGACGTATTGTACCAGGCTGATCGTAAGGATGTCGGACACTGTGCACCTGGTCCAGATTTTCTGTGGATTAAGGCGCCGACAGCTGAACAGCTGGCCTCGGCCGCATTCTCAAGAAACTTCTCCCTGGCGGGCTAGTTGTTCGGAAGGGCAAGAAGAGGAAAAACGCTGGTGCTGCGGTGCTGCAGCTGCACAGGAGTTCTTCAGCATGTCTCCTACACCATCCAGGGTGGAGCCTCCTGCTTTTGAGGCGGGGCGCCGGGCAGCGCCGCCGCGTACAGGGCCCGACCCAGGCGTGCTGTGCAGTCGCTGGGAGATTCCTCCTGAAGAAATTGGGGCTTGTGGCCAGGTGTCCGAGTCGAAGGGCTCGGGCCCTGCTACTGCCACACGCGAGCTGAAAGCAGATGTGCTCAAAGCGCGCTTTGGCGCATCGCATTCCCGTGCCGGCCCAGGCCGTATCCTCCTCCTGGGGCGGCACAGCCATACAGTAAAGTGCCCAGTATATTGCTTTCGTTACGGGCGGCCAGTGCTACCGCCCAAGGGCAGCCGAACACAACAGGTCACTGTGTCGCATCGATCGCATTGAACGAAGCTCGAGGTTCTGTTTCAGTACGTGCGGCCTCGGCCACATCCTTGCCACCACCGAAACGGCCAAGCCACGTCGGAGGCCGCGGGCCCAGAGAAAGCGATGTCCATCTCATGAAACTGTCCGACAGGTGAGGCTGGAGCCATGTTTAGCTGGTCGCCGCGCTCCTCAGACGAGGAGGATACTCTGTGTCCATGCCTTGCTCGCTCCTCAGCACATCCAAAGGCGATGCGTCTTCGAAAGTGCCGGAGTCTGTGGCAGGTCGTCCCCGACGGGATGGAGTTCGTCTTTGCAGTGCGAGAGGCCGCTTTGCCAAGGCTTCCTTGTCAGAGGAAGTGGTTATAAGGGGAAGTCAGGTCCTTACGGACGAAAGGCAGGAGCCGCCGGACTCAGGAGCCTCCTGTGCAGAGGTTGATCGTCTGTGGCCGCAGCCCCCGAGGCTTTCCTTCAGCGTGGTGGACTTGGAGGGATCTCCGCTCAGTGCCGCCCTCGGACACCAGTTGGGGGCCAGTTCCTGAATATGTGCTGAGTGCTGGCTAGGAGCCGCACTGAAGCCGCTGCTCCAAGGCCACATCATCGTGAACGAGTCTGGTTCCGGGTGTGCAGCTCAAAGGGCGTTTGAGCGGCTGTCTGCTGACGGATTTCTCGGGTGCGAAGCTCCCAGGCCGCAGTGCGGCATTTTTCTCCAGATGTTGGACAGGGAGCCGCTGGCTTCGGTTCGCCACGACCGCAGATTGACACTCGCGCAAATTAGACAGTTAGGCACCGATGTGCCAAGGTACGGACATGCTCTTCGAGAGGGCTGGTCGACTTCCAGAGATCCTGCTGCCTTCTGGAGAGGCCATGACGGCTATTGATGGTTATTGTATGTTCTTGTTACTGCTTCGCAGTTGTACTGCAGTGGCTTTTGTTTCCCAAGCCGCGAAGAAGGAACCGAAACCGCAAGAACCAGGAGGCATCTGTGCAAGGGCGGTACAAACAACGTTGCAACGAGAGAGTGCGACCACATGCGAGAACGAACTTTGAACGGCAAACGTATTGTCCGGATGGCGTCCCAAGCCTGCACGGTAGCCAATCCGTGACCTGATCCCCAGAAAAAACTTTGCAGGGCCGCCAAGCTTGCGACCTAGTTTGAGGTCTCATCACACCCAAGGCAACCTTTCCACAGCGACGGGTGGCGTGATGTGGGGTGTCCAGCGCCTCTGCTGGTATCAAGGGCTGGCAAAACACTGCATCGAAGAGACAACTTTACACATGCTCTAAGACTCAGCTATATATCTAGGATTCGGCATTGTAGACATACATGCACCGTCGCAACCCACTATTCGGGCTTCACTGTGTTGAAAAAAGGCGACCGGATGAAGCAAATGATGCCTACATCTGGTGGTGTCGCACTTTCACGATTGACGTATTTGGAGGTATAGACTGCGACTTGCAGGGTAGCACGCCCGTGAGTACACGGAAATGTATCTGCGAGCCTGGTAGATTCGAGCAGCAAGACCTTAGGCGAGCGCGGATGATGTGTTGCTGAATTTCTTGTCTAGACGAATCGAATCCCTGCCCGGACGAGAGGTAGTTGGCAGTGCTGGCAGCGTAGAGTGGCAGAGGTCTCCCTATGAAGAAAGTAACCGAGATCCTTTGGTGAGGTGTTTTGTGCCATGGAAAGGGATGGAAGCCTGGTGCCGAGGGCTGGCAGGTAGGGGCTTGGGAGAGATGCGATCTGGTGCCCTGCCTGAGGCCGAGAGTATGTGCTGCGTGATCAGCGCAAGCAGCGGCTGCTCCGGCTCCAAGGACGGGGCAGAGAAAACGGCCCAGTGCGGATCGCTCGGCTCAAGGCTCCGGGCTCCCGCTTGCGCTTTGCAGGCAACTTCCGGGATAAAGCCGTCAAGGTGATCAATGCGTGACGTTCCCAGGGCTAGTGCCGCTGCAGCCTCTTTGTGAGGGAGGGGAGGGGTGGTGACATCGGCTTCATCCCCGTTGAGGTCTGGACAGCTCGTGGCTCTCAGCGAGCGTTGTGTCATTGCCTTCGATGGCGGCTCTCACTACCAGGCGATTCTTACATCGAAGGATAGATTCGGATAGATGCACGATGGAGACATCTGGCTTGGATGAGACCATTATTCATTCTTCCAGGTGCGGGTGGCTCCTCATGCGGATGCTGGCTTAGTTCTGTGCAGGCCACCAGCCGGTGTTCTTGTAAGAGCGAGAATGAAACATATTTCATCGTATCACCATTGGTGCACCACGGGCCGTCGATCAAGTGCGCACCGTGCCGCAGCTTACTCGCGGTGGACAAGATAGAGGGAGGTCGGCCAGGCTGACACTCCAGCTCACCGTCGAGCTCCCAGTTTACGTGAAGTGCTTGACATGCACTGCCAAGTGCTTGGGGCTGGGGTCTTGCAGCAAACTGCCAGGAGCTGGTTGGAATTCAAGTGGGTCTGGCAGCCTTGCCGGCATCATGCAAAGAAGAAGGTGCGGCAGTAGCTGCCTTGGCCCATGTCGGAAGCTGATGTCTCTCCCAGCAAGGACAACAGTTTCTCACTTCAGCTTCCGAAGCTGTCGCACAACACAGCACCAGCAAATGTCAGCAACGGCCGAATGGTGCAGATGGACGCAGTAGGTTGCTTTTGGTGCAGGCGAACCACACCTGTACGTGCGAATTGCGAATTCGTATAATTGGAAGGACCTAGCCACTCAAGGCTGCCAGCAGATAGCCTCGACGATAATCCAGTTCAGAAGTCGGATCGGTGTAGCCTTGTTTGGCATGGCCCTTTGTGCAACAAGCGCATGCAAAGCATCTCTTGTTTGTGCCAGTGGCGGCACATATTTTGAAACAGCTTTCAGGTTTTCTGCTCTCCGGAGCAGGGCTCGCACGCTAAGCAGAAGGGAGGTAGCGATAGATCAGGCCGAACCACACAATTTGCGGAGCACGACAGAAAGGCCAGCAAAGCTGAGAGGTCGACCCACCTGCGACGGCCTCGTACAGAGATGGATGGATGAATGGCATGCATCCAGCTTTCAACCCACTGCCAACGAGGATTTTTATAGATGGGCACTAGCTGTCTCGGATGCAGGCTTGCAGCAGAAACATGGAGCAGACTTTGCAGGTACTTAGGGGTTCGTCTTTGCGATGTTAGCGACAAGCTTTTGCCCCTTTCGTCTCTGCCACAAGAGTGCAAGAGCACAGGAGGTGATCGCCCAACTCGCAAAAAGACGTGCTGCCGAGTCCCGCCATTGCCGGCGTGCCGTGTGCATGGGGAGTGCCCACTTGTCCTCTGGGCTCGAACCATAGGGGCTCGTGGTGCAACAGAGGCTCGCCGGGAGCTCGGTTAGCAGCAAGACCTAACATTTTTTGCTAATAAGTTCTTTGGCCTGGTTTCTGGGCGCCCTCGCATCGCTTCACTCATGGATATCGGGATGCTCAAGCCAGGCCATGGTCTCTAGCACCACATACTTGCCGCCAATTCCAGTTGGGCCGCTCGCAACAGACGCTAAAGGCCCTGAGAGTCTGCGTTGCCCGAGAACTTTTCAGCATGCCCCTGGTGCGAACGAGGTGCTGATGCAGGCGGTGGGGCTCCAGCACCGCAACCAGAACGTGGAGCTCCAAAGAAGGAGACCCCGCAAGCAATGTGACACCTCTTCCGGACAGGACGTCAGAAGCAAAAGCTCGGACTTACACAGCCTCATGCGGCCTGGCCGAAACTGGAGACAGTCCGAGCGATTCCAATCAGATTCGCCAGCCGAGGTACTTTCAACGAGCTGGAGCAGCCGCTTCAGCTGCAACAGAAGAAACCCTCACAAGAACGACAATTCGTTTGATTGCCTGGCAACCATACCACGGCGATGTTGTCACAGACTCGGCTTGAGCTTCAGGTGTCGCAAGAATCGTTAACAAGACCGAAGCCAGAAAGAAGAAGGAAGGACAGACGGGGCAATCGCGTGTCCGGAATTCGATTCGAGACGTGCAATCGGGTCCGGCATTCGATTCGAGACGTGCAAAGGCAAATCGGCAAAGCACGAACATATCCCAGGATCTAAGCCGAGAAAGGCAGCCTCGCAGGCTCGGCTTCGGCTTCCCGTGAACGAGCCGGCGCCAGTGAAAAGTGCCTTGGCTTAGTTATTTCTCCTCCAAGCATGTTCAAGTTCTGAAGCTACCAGCTACCAAATGCGGCAACAGGGATTGGACCGTATCGTGACGAGGCAGCAGCACTCCCGTGCTTCCCAAACTGAAGCTGGACTCAGAAAGTTTGGAAAATGAGGCAGGAAGCCGAATATTGGAAGAGGAGGCCCGACGAGTTGAGACAGAGCGAGATTAAATGCTGCTCCGCAGTTGGGGCGCACGGGTTGCGAGCTCCCTTCCTGCCAGGCTGCGCAGCCTCCAACGCCTCCAGAAAATGCAGAAACGCAAGATTTTCCAGGCACCCGAGAGAAGCAAGCTGCTCATTGCAGTGTTCTAGTCTTCAAGCCATGGTGAACGGGAACAGGGGGGGGATGTTGACCCCCGCATCCGTATGCATCCAGGCAAGGCAGAAGTCCCTGCAGCAGATGCAGAGATGGCCGTTTCCGGCTCAGGCTCGCCTTTTTTGGGCCCAGGGGATCCTAGAGATTCTTCTTGTCAAGATGGCCAGGGCCCGATGGAAGGGATGATTGAGACATGTTGACACAGTTCAGTAGCTCGTTTCTGTCCCGAAATTGATTGTTGTCGTTCCCGGCTGCTGCTTTTTGTTGTTTGTCGCTTCGTCATAATTGTGATGCACTGGCTGGGCAGGGCTGGAGACCAAAGATGCATCAGAGGCCGCTCCATGCGCCTGGCACCCCTACCTGCCTAGGAAGATCTAGGCCAGCTTTGAGCCTGGACTAAGACAGAGTCCCCGCCACAGGATCAAGAGGCCGAAGCTGAGGCCCTCGAGCAGCCGTGCCTTGGTTTTTTTCTTTGGCCCAAGGACATGTCATTGAGAGTTTCCGTGGAATTGAAGCTGAGGATACTCGTCGCACCCTGGAAGCGCGGCCTGTCCAAGAAGGTGCCAAGAGCTTGATGTGTGTGAAGGAACCATGGAACCATGGTTGGGTACTGCCACAACACTCACTGCTCTCGCAGCCAATTTTTCGTCCCTCTCGGGGACTCGTCAGGGCTTGACAGCCGTAAGTGCGGCGAATATTGCGTGCATGCACGCATCACTCATGAACGCGATGCAAATTCGGATGACACTGACTGCTTGCACGCGTCGAATCCCACACTACGTCGCATGCCGACCGGGCCGAACCAAGCAAGTGCCCCTCTATAGGGGTTCGCCTCCACCCGAAGGACCTGCGCGGCCTAGCCCCACACTGTTTTGAAGGAAGAGAATTCAGTTGCCTCTTGCCTGCAGGGAACCAAAAGCTTCAAGAGGTCGCAGCCTTAGACGATGGCTGCGGGATGTTGATCTTGTCTTCGGGCTCCAAGTTACAGCTATCCTGCCTCGCAGAATGGATAGCCACTTGATCTTTGAACCACGGGACGCCGACCAAGAAGGCGTCTACAAGGGTCTTTGCTGGTGCCCCATGCGATTGGCTTATGTTTGAGTTGAAATCGTTTAGCTGCGCCGGATCGCAGCTGCGCCGCAAGAAGTCGACCCACTTGGAGATGACTTGCCCGCTCCGGAGCTCCTAAACTTCAATAGCTTCACGCATTGCTGCAGAAAGCAGTCCGGAAGTCTCAGGCAAAGCGAGGGCCAGGAGGCATCTCCACCCTCGCCCGACGATGCAGGCTGCAGATCGGGGCCAGGACAGTTCTGCCGGCTTGGCAAGCGGGCCTGACCAGGTGCTAAATCGTCGAGACGCAGCTCAGGGTGGCTTGAAGTTCAAGAGAGCCATGCTATCGTTGCAGTGGCGGAGGGAATGCACCATGTCAGGTCGCAGTCCAGCGAGCTGGACGACTTTGGTCACTCCATGAACAAAGGATGGTCAAAGGCAAAGCAGGCGGGCTCAGGGCTCAATCGGCATTTATTGCAGTTAAAAGTCAAAGCTAACAGCCAGGCCGCACGCCTCGCCGCCACGCTTCGACCGGAGAACATGCTAGATACAGTCCAGCAGTGGAGACACGCTGCTGAATAGACACTGCGTGCTCTGGCCTGTGGCACACATCTGTCTGCCGTTCAGAGTTTGGACATTGCCGCAGTACCGAGCGTTTGGTGTAAGGAAAATGGTGTCGAAAGACAGCGCCATGGCTTGCATGCAGAGCTTCAAGAAGTTGGAAGTGCCGTTTTTGGTCTCGCATATGGACTCTTCTGAAGAGGGTAAGTGCTACTTTTAGTTGGTTGATTGAATCCCCTCATTGGCCACATGTGTTTCGTTGAGTTGATCGGCAGCATCCATGACAACAGTGCTTGTTACGAGCAGCAAGCCGAGGACCAAGTTTTCGATGCTGCACCGCAAACTTCGACTTGGAGAGGAGCTGAAGCAACGGCGAAGCTTGAACGCAGAAGTGACCAGACTTCGTGGCTTCGCGCACTCCAGACTGGGTAGTTGAGAAGTGGCATCCAAGGAGATCAATCCGGGACCTGGACGAGGAGCTAAGCGTAGACAAGGATCGCTTGCGCCTGATGATACAACAGGGTGCAGCTTCCCCAGTTTTCGTCTCTTCGACATGGATCACGTTAGAGTCTCCAAGAGAGTCGTCAGTCGCAGAGTCGCTGGAGGTTCACAGGTCCAAGAACGGCTTGAAACTCACAGCAGGAGCCCAGGTCGCACCGTACCCTGCTTTTGAACTTCCATGCGCTTCCGGGACGCCAAGGTCAGGCATGTCCAACCTGATATCGACAGGGAGACTCTCTGGAGAAACCGGAGGGAAACCTTGGAAAGGGTGGACACGCATGGCAAAAGGATTCAGCAGGACCGCGCCTGAGGTGCTGAACCCAAGCCCAGGCACTCCTGAGACGCAACCTTTGGAGGCACTTCAGGATTCCTTGCGGGCACGCAAAGATCTTCGAACTTGCGTGCCAAGCTCACGCTTGAACTTGTCATGCTGAGTTGCTGCTGAGCTCAATCTACCCAGCAGATTGATCCGTTTGGAGGTTCAGCTGCTCAAGGAAACAATGACAGAGAAGCCCGACACTGACAAGAAGAAGCCGCGCGTGTCATCCAAGGCCCCACATGAGAATGCTAGTTGATGGTGTTTGCATTGAAACCCTCCGCCGGCATGTGCCAAGCCGGAGTGACACGTTCTGTCCAGGAGCGCAAATGCTCGTGGTCTTCCGGACGCCTCGATACCATCAAGAAGAAGCTGGACTGGATGGTTGGGGTCACAAGATAGTCGCTGAATGCACTATACTCACTATACTCGTAGGTGCTGTAGCTGCTGGTGTTCTCAGCTGACCGGTCCGGCAGGAAGAGTATATTCGCACGGGCTCTCTCAGCGACTACGAGGCTCCATATTTGCAGTTTCAAAGGGGCACAGGAGGACACCGGCCTCAAAACTACTAAGGAGGACCGAGATGAGGCCGCCAAGAATCGGAAGTCTCTCATCACATGAATGTGGAAAGCTCCGTAGATATGAATCGGCACTTCGTGGTTGCAGCACTTGCACTTCACCAGTTCTTCAAGAGTCGTCTAGCCCATTTGAGAAAGAGTGTTGAGGTAAATCGCGCCATGTGGTGCGACCCGATGTCTCACCCTCTCCACTCGGAGACGGGCACTGACCAGTGCCACAACATTTATTCTTCGACCGGGTGCTTCACGCGTGTGTCGAGACCAGATTTTGGGCTCGAGCCCCGAGCCACAAACCAGACCGGGAGCTCACAGTTCCTGGACCTGATTATTTAGTCGATGAAGCCAACACTCCGAAGGAGTCGGCACTCGGATTTTGGATTTTGCGGATGGAAAGAGTATAGTGACTAGATACTGCTTTCTGATCGGGTGCCTGTTGCGCCGCTGAAGATAGGCATGTCTGACTGAGGATTTCCTCTGCGTTGTGGTGCTGTGTACTACAGCTGATGTAAAGTTACAATAGCCAGCAAGCAGTAAGAGTGTGCCACGGGAGCATGCCGAGCCCAATTAGTGGTGCCGCCGTAACACTGCCAGTTCTGATTCGTGAGTTCGCAGTGCGCGACCAAGTTGTCTCTGAAAGCAGGAACTGGCAAAGGGCCCGTCTACTACAGGCAACAGCCCACCGCAGCAATGGGCAGAAGAAGCAAAGCGGCAACGCTTTCCCTCGCCAGCCTGGCATTCCTAGCGCGGGCCCGAGACCCTTCAACAGCCGGGCTCAGCGTGTTCATCACTCTATGCAGCGTCCCTTGCAAATCGAGGTTGCGGCGCCACTCGCCCTTGAACATGTCAGGGCCTGGACACTGGCTGCAACCTAAGCGAGTCTGGCGAGTCTGATGCCACGGCGCCGTTTTTTCCGACCTTTTTCTTCAGGAGGCTGCCAAAGTCCACCTCCAGGACGCGCAGGAGGAGATCTCCAGCGCAACCCAAGACCTCACCAAGGAGTGGCGGTGAGTAGATTGAAAAGTCCTCTAATCGCGGAAGCCGAACTTGATTTCAGGAGCCGGTAACGCCTGAAAGCATCGCCGTGTGGATGAAGGTACCGATATTCACTTTGATCCACCGGAAGACTAAGACTGGCTTCGAGAAAGGTGGTCGGATCGGAGCTGTTACGGGGGGCAGCCGTGGTGGCGTTGCCAGTGCGTGCCTTAGTTTCTTGGACTCGTCTGCCGCTTTAACGGACCAACGATGCTTCATTTGCATTGATGCATGCGGCATGGGTGTAGTTACCAGATGTTACTAGTTCAGGCCCGGATGTCGTTGCAGGGTACTTCGGCAGCACCTGCCATGTTTGTGATCAGCTATGGCTTTGCGTTAAGGACACGGCAGGGATAAAAAGAGCATCGAAGCATTTCGTGTGGGTTGCGCACGGACGGTCTTTTCCTCGCGCCAGGCAGCCCTGCTGCTTCCAATGTCGGCCACCTTAATGCGCCATGCCCACACTGCTCCGAATACCACAATTGCGCAGGCATGTCCGGCCCTTACAGACTCAACAAGGGTGTGTGACTGAAATTGAAGACTGCCAGCCTCCTAGCCGCGAGCCTGTTGCGACACCTCAAACGCAGGTCAGCTGCTTGAGGCCACAACGGGTGGAGTTTCCGCTTTCAAAGTGCCGAAGAGTTTGAACGCGAGGGCATGGGCTACAACGTTGCAGGTGCAGTTTCCATGCCCAGACATGCTGGTGGTGGATTCCGATCGGGCCGGGCTCGACGACACTAAATTCAAGAAATGCGGGGAAGCGTGCCAAGCCAGCTAATCCGGGTAGTGCACCGGCTTCCTGCTATCACAGGTGGGACTTCAGACGCTCCCCCTGCTGCCTCCACGGCGCCAGTGGGCTGTCTTTGTCAGCCGTTTGCGTCTCAGAACCGGGCAGACCCACGCTGAGAGTGAGGGAGAGGCATGGAGCGTGCGCCCGATAGAAGGCGCTCTGATGGAGAAAGCCAGCCAACCTCAGCTCCTGGCTCTGCTGTTACGGGAGGCCTTTTTTTTTGGTCTCGGAGACCTCGACAATTGCCAATGAAATCATTGAATCACCGGGTTGCTTTGCACTTGCAGGCTTTTCTGTCAACTATTCGTCGCTCGTTTTTGAACGAGGCTATTTTCAGGTTTAAGGTGTGTCAGCTATCCTTCGTCTTTAAGGGTGGTCTTTGTGAAGCATACTGGCTAGGTTGAATCTTGAAGAACATTCTCCCAGGCGTCATGTTGGTCCCCCCGGGTAGGGCTGGAAGATGAACAGCGCAGGAAACGAATGGCTCCATCCCCCTGGATCGCTCTAAGGGTGTTTGACAAAAGAAAGTAGTGAGTCGTTGCCCTGGCGGATGTGTTAGCTGTGTTGACAAGGGGAAAGTAGTGTGGCGAGCATCTGCAGTTCTTGGCAACAGAGTTCAGACGCAGACCTTTGCGCCGCAGCTGTCTGCACAGGTTTGGGTCGATGGAGTGGCGTTTCCGTCCTCGATCTAGATATCCATCATGGGGTCTGTCGGTTCACAGATCTGTTGCTTTCTACGCCGGGCCTGCGATCCGGAGCAGCGTGTTGAGATGCGATCTTTGGCAGCTCAACCCGTCCCACCGACGCCACAGCCACTGACAGGATATGCGCCATATGCGGGCCCAGGCCAGTTGGCTACCGGAGTTGCGTTTGCGACACCCATACCCTATGCATCGGCTGCACCAGTGGTGGCCTGTGCCATACCGGTGGAGATGTCGCCTGTTTGCCACAACGGCTTTCCATGCACGTCTCATGCCGAAAGCTTTCCAGTCACTGGAATGGCTGTCTCCAGCCGGTCTGTGCCGCAAACTTTATCACAAGCGCAAGTTCAACTGCCGGGTAAGCGGAAGAGCCTACTCGTTGGTATAAACTATTTTGGCACAGAGGCCGAGCTGTCTGGATGCATTGCAGATGTCAAGAGAATGCAGCCGTTTCTGGAGCAATTAGGCTTTCCCTCTGACCAGCAGTGCCAGATGGTGTTGCTCGATGCACCTGGTTGGCCTCACTACCGACGTCCGACCTTAGCCAACATGCGACAAGCAATCCGATGGCTCGTGCATGATGTTCGGACAGGACATTTGGACCCCCACCCTTCACTGCAAGCTCATGTGTTTGGGTCACAGGGCATCGTTTTTGCAATTGGTCAGGGTTTGGAGCTGGGACACTTAGAAAGTGGGGTCCGGGGACAAGGACTGAGAAGCGAGAAGCGCAGATGGGATCCACCTGGGTTCTGGCCGTCAGATGGTCTCCAGTCCAGCCCCCCTCTCACCCGCCTGCTGTCGCAGCCCCCTTCCCAGGCTCCATGTCGTAATAATCAATACAAAGTCAGGAGACGCGTTGTTCTTCCATTACTCCGGGCATGGAGGCCGCGAGCCCTCTGCCTCAGGAGCAGACGGATATGTGGAGACTCTTTGCCCGGAGGCGGGACGATGCGATCGCTGAAGAAGTGCGGTTTCAGAGCTCGCCGCGGTAGTGCACAGCAAGAGGCACGAAGTCCAATGACAGGACTATGACGAAGAGGGAATGCTGCTGGACACAGAACTCTTCGAGACGCTGGTGCGGCCCTTGCCAAGTGGTTGTCGCCTTACCTGCCTCATGGACTGCTGCCACAGTGGTGGTGTGGCCTTGAGTGCACTGAATGGCTTTAACGCAGCGAATACCTGCAAATGCCGTGAGCACGAGATGCCGAGGTACTCAACTTGCCTTACCTCTTCACCGGCACTGAAGCCAACCTGAAGCAAGCTTTGGCTGGCAAAGCCGTGTCTCTCGCCCTCTCCAAGGATTGGCTGCGGGATTTGCAGTCTATGCGCTCAGGAAACCCACTCGGACTTCTGGAAGATGCCGCTAGCATGGGCCTGGGGTTGTGGGGCGCAGTTCCACGTCCAGTCGTCCCGGCGCGGGTCGATGCTGATTGGACGGAGACGTTCCTCAACGGGGTCCGCTGGGGGTGCATTGACCTCTGTCTTTATCGAATCGCTGCAGGAGCTGGCCGGACTCTGCTTGCTTTGGTGCATCAACCGTGTTTTGCAGGACCAATCAGCGGCTTCCTTCACATACTTGACTCTGCTCGAACAGCGACTTGGGCTCTCTGTGAAGTTGGCTTGCACGGTCGGGTCGTCTTTGGGCACCGAGCTGAGGATTCGCGCTCGCCTTGATGAGGAGGACTTTGAGCAGGTGCCGCAGCTGGCAACATCCCTCCTCATTGAGCTGAGGTGTTTTGGTTGTGCAAGAGAGCCAGCAAGTCCAAGCAATGTCAAGCTCCCGCAGACTAAGTCAGCCGTTCTCCTTGACGACGATCTCGCTGCCTGCCCAGACCAGCGCTCGCGGCCTTTCCACCGGGGCATGCATGGATGGCAGCCCTGGCATCGCATCAGGACCGAAGTTAGAACGCAAGCGCTACAGAACATCTGAATATCTGTCGAAACTCTGTTGCATGCTCTTTCCTGTCATCAACGTGCAGAACAGAGCTTCGTTACTGCTGCAGCTTGTTGGATGTGTCCGTCGAACATGGCGCAGCGGCTCTTGCGACAAGGCCCTGATTCGGAGGTCCGATCCATGGAGACAATGGCAGATGCCAGTTGGAATGAAATAAAAGGTACAATAAAGATGAAGCTGCAAGGTAACAAAGGTGAAACACAGCTAGAAAGAGGCGGAACAAAATGGCAACGACAAGGTAAAACATGGTAGGACAAAAGGTGAAGACCAGGCACAGGCCACGTGACTCGGATTTTTCCTGCACTCCCACATTCCCGGCCTGCCGGAAAGCTTTTCGAAGTCGTCGAGACGCTCTCCTGCCGGCCGTGACTTCCTTTTTATTCGTCCAGTGTCGTGTGGTCCGTGCGCTGCACATTCCGTCCGAATGCGGCAGAGTTCAGGCCCACTCACAGTAGGTGCCCTATTTCGGACATCCGTGCGCCTTCTCTCACTCTCTTTCAAATTCCCGGCTCTCCATTGCTGCTTCTATTCTATCTGAAGCCGAGCCCAGAACCACGGATGCCCCCTTCCGAGCCCCGGCTATGTACATCAGTGCTTATGGCCCCTGCCTCACTGCGGTCCTCAGTTATCCGGCGGTACCCGATCTGCTTCTGAGCCAGAATCAGGCCTGCTACTGCCTGATGATTGTTGGCTTCGCCTGTCTTGGTGGTCCGGATGGATTAGGCTGTACCGTCAGGTCCCCGACCGGGCGGCCGTTTCGTCTTTCCCACAGTAGGAAGAAGGGGTCTCCGACTGTTTGCTGCTTAGTTGTAACGACCCCGTCTTCCCTCTGAACCCGGTAGGAAACGGAAGCTTGGCCCGAACTAGCCCTTAAACAAATATACACAAGAAAGAAGCTTAAACCTTAAATAATTTTCAACCTTAGAGACCACGAAAGTTTATGGAAGGTGAAGGAAAGGTGAAGGCCAAGCAAAGGCCAGGTGTGTGTGGGAAATCCCGGAACATCTGGCCTGCGCGTGGCCTTTGCAATTTTGTGTGTGTGTGTGTGTTTTTTTCACTTCTTTTGCATTTTGGCTTTGTTTGTACCTAGGGCTGTTTGGGCCCCCTCCTTCGGAACGGTCATTCTAAGCCTTGAGCGGCCTCGAGTTTAACATGACTCGACAACTGGCGAACAGCTGCCATTGAACTCTTGCAAATCGGAAGTGCTTCGGTCGGCCTTATGCAGGTCGCCCGACACCCTCGTAGGTCAAGATAGTATGTGGGGCACGCGCAGCTAAGTTGGCACGGTCCTGTCACAGCTAGGCGCCCCCAAAAAAGTGCAAACCTATGTAAGCCCTTCGAAAGGATCTTCTGCACTGCTTGCCGGTTTCCTCAGTTCCATGGCATCTGCTCCACAGGGAGCCGCAATGCTGAATGGAGCACGAGGCACATTGGGACAGGACTGGTATAATCATAAGGCCCTGAACTTTCAAGAGAATCACGCCGAATTCCAAGGCGCTGGCGACGAGGCGTCTGCACTCACAGAGTTGAGTGCAGTGGCACAAGGCTTTGCAGCGTCACAGCTGCTCGGAGGAGGTGCCGGTTGGTGGCAAGGAGAAGGGTTCGAACAACGACCTTCCATCCAAACGGATGGAGCAAGCCCAAGCTCAAGTGCGAGCAGGTCTGATGAGGCCTGGGGCTCCAAATGCAAGGATGCCAACGCGCGGTTTGCTTGTGAGTTTGGCCATGTCGTGCCGCATGGGCAGGAGGTAGGCACAGAGCCAAGTGATGAGGCGGAGGACGAGCTTTTGCAGCAATAGATCCCGGGCCGAAGCGGCCCTTTCATGCTTTCAGGCTTGAGGTATGGGCATTTCAGCCCGCACATGTCCTCAGAAACGTGCTGTCCGTGCAATCCTGAATCCTCGTGACAAGGACTGGCTGCCCTCTGACCTCGAGGATGTCGCAGAAGCGGTGATGGATGTTTTCGACGACGACGATTGAGCCTAGTGGTGCACGGAGTAGTATAGTGTACATAACCGTGATAAGTCAGCTTCTGCGGCCAAAGTGCTGCCGCAGGCCATCGAGTGCAAGACGCACAGCGATGCCCTCTCTTCGTTTAGGATTCGTAAGGGTGGTGAAAGATTCCTTTGGAACCCCCCTTTTCAGCACAGCTCGCAGCAGGTAGCACTGGGTTGCTAAAGGACTAAAGGGCGGCTTGCTTTGGCAGGTGGCACTGCTTCGGATGCGAATCCCACCTCTGCCACAGCTCTGGGCAGTTCTTGCAGCAGTGAAGGGCAAGGCTCTGCCAAAGAAGCCGAGGCACGAGCGACCGTGCCCCGAGACCAGATGACGATGGGGCTTCCTTGGGCCTAAACGGGTGGGGCTTGCGACCAGGCACCCGCACTCCAAGACACGCAAGAAGAAGCCCAGCCAGCTTCCAGCTCACATCAAGGTCTTGCTTCTGGACCTCCGAGCTTTGTTGCTGAGTTTCCCACTCCGCAGGAGCTTTGCAGAGTCCACCGAGGGTTGAGCGAGATTCAAGCACGGCAGCGGCCTTGGACAGCTCGAAGCTTCGACTTGGAGTCTGCCCTCAATTTGAACCCTTGAACAAGGCATGATCAGCTGCCTCTACCTCTCCAGATGTCGGTGAGACAAGCAGCACAGTATTTGCTATTACCGGGTGCACCTCGGCCGGAAAGAAGCATTGATGTATAGTGCAAGCAGTTTATGACGTGCATTCTGCTCAGACGCGAAGCTGCGGGCCCCGGATGACTGCATCAGTTGCACACCCCACGGGCACGAAAGGCTAGCAAACGAGCAGATATGGACGCGCATTTAAGTTCCACGGCTTGCTCACTTGACTTGAATGTGCCAAATGGCCTCAAGCTTGCTTAAGCAGTGAGTTTTAACCCCCCCCCCCTCCCCGAAACGAAAGCGCTGCCACTCCATCGGCCACATGACCTCAGCACGATCCTGGTGACGATGGGTGCTCCGAACCACTTGTGGCAGTTGACCACCTGACGTCATATGCTTCAATGGCCATGCACCTGCCGGTAAGGTCTTGGGAGACTGCGTCAATGTCGTGGGCACTTATGCGGATGGCGGCACGATGGCAGCAGTTCGGGAGGCCCCCCATGAGTGAGGAAAGCCCTCAGTGCCGCAGGGTGTACCTGAGCATTTATACCCGCATGATGCTGCCTCTGTGTGGATCTCGTAGCAAGCAGTTGCATCGGGCATCGGAGGCTGGTAGCGACGTTGCAGACTACGTGGCGCAGTTCCAGCTGTTTCGCCTGCTGCATATCGCGAAACTCAACAAGGAGTGCAGCCCAGAATGGGAAACGCGCACTAGTCAGGGCAAGCCTCATGTTTCAGGACGTCTTTGGAGAGCCGAAGAGGAAATCCTTGACCAAGAAAATAAAGGACACAAGTGGGCCGGCTCGGTGTTTGGGCGTCGGGTCGTGCTGCTGCATGAAAGAAGCCCGTGAAAACATAAGGTGTCAATCTGAAGCGTGTCTACTCCATCGGCCCCGAGCGCGTCGAGGCCTCCCTAGGGGCATCAGCGTCGCAACGAGAACGCTTGGGAAAGTGCTTCGAAGTCTCGAGGTGCTTGTTGTTTCCCAAAGATCCTTCGATCCATCTGACTGCAACTCAAGCTACGGCACGTCTCCACTGTTCTCGCAGCTCCTTGAGTAGCTGGGTTGCCGTTGCAGTTCTCGTTTGGCAGGCATATCTGCAATGTCCTTTTGGAGGATTTCGGTCCTAATCAGGTGTCTAATTGTCGAATCCAGCTCTTCCCGATGTAGCAGAGCAGGAGCCGTGCTTTTAGAGGGTGGGCGCACCCTGTGAACAGTGTAGACCCGACTGTATAATAGGTCAATCCAAAAGGGTCTGCGCTGCCCCGCAGGGCATGTTGAAAGCGGCGTCGAAAGTGCGCCATCCAACCTTGTCTTTGCGCAAGAGGAGAAGGCCAGGAGCTGAGACCCATCGTTTGCAGGATAGCAGAGCAAAGCTTTGAACCGCAAGTCCTCAAGTCAAGTAGCTATGGAACCCCGAGCTTTGGGTCGGGGGGGGCGACTACGAGTGGCGACGAGTGGCAGGCTCAAGGTCTCGGAGGCGGGCCAACATGGGCCAACCCATATCGGGGCGCACTCCATGCTTCGTGCGGCTGCGACTGGAGCACCAGCATTGCTTCTGCTCTGTACCCTCTGTGCCTTGCTTTTGCTTTGCCCTATCATTTTTTCTTGTCTTTGTCGCGGGAGCGCCAACAGTCAGAGCTCACACAGCCGATCAGCGTTCCCATACGTTCCAAGCTGCCGGGTTAACTAGTTTGGCGCACGCCCAGCCCAAAGAAAGCGTTTTCTGGCTTCAGGCCAAAGTTGCCTTTCTTTGAGATGTGGGCAGGGAGCCGAGACGGTTGTGACATGCTTTGACATGCTTCGAACCGCTCAGAGAAGCTTTTGGAGAGCTTGTCCCCGTCTTCAGACGGCTTGCGCGACCATAAACCGTGCTGCGACGCTCCTTGCGGACCAGCAGGCAGCTAAGGCGCCCTTGACTCAACAGAAGAGAGACTGCGGTAATCACTTGAAGCGACGAAAGTCTTCTGCAACAGGAGCATGTTCAATGTGCCCGTCAGCTCTGCGGCATGCAGAAAGTTGAATTTGGTTCCGCAGCCACATCTCTACCCAAGGTAGTAGGTCTTTTCTCGTGACTTCAATCGTCGGAAAGCCGACCTGGTTACACCGCTCGTGCCCAGTCAGTCCACCAGACGGTCCAGACATGGGTCTGTGCCAGTGCAATATCACTGGTCACGGAACGGATTCGGAGATGTATGCCACTTGCCAGCCGTACCTTTTTCTATAGTGACTTCAGTGCATCTGTGAGGGGCAGCTTCCTTCAGCAGGGCCCTGTGTACTGCAAGGTGACTGCTGAGGAGTTCGCGAACAGGCTCGACAGGCAAGCATCGAAATCCAAAGGCAAGACCGGTGAGGTCATGATCAACGTGGATGTGATCGAGACCATCCTTTTGGAGACTTGGCTCCAGCACAGACGCTTGGGATGTTGCAGGCTAGGGCTAGGAAATCAAAGCTTGCTTGTGACACACATTATGGCTTTTCCGTCTGTGCATCTCAGGAGGATACAGGCGTGTCGCAGGATGGCAAATTTATAAAGCCAGATGTTGTGGAGAATCTCATCTGAATTTTCGTAGCTCTATGATGCCAAGTGCCAAGATCAGTACGGCATGCCGACAGCCATGCTTCTGTGCCTGCATGAGACGGTATGCCTCAAGCACAGTGGATGCGAAAATGTGCGGCACGTGTCCTCTGCACAGAGCCGAGGAAAGCCTTTGATAGGGTCAACTCGAACAATGAGGAGCCCCGTCACAGCAAGGAGAGAAAGGGCACAGGCTTCATCACCAAGGCCTGTGCAAGCTCTCTGCTTTGTTAGCTGACTCTTGTCAGAGCAAGTTGTCAGCACCTTGTCCGTCATATCATGCCTCACGGGCTCGCGAAATAGGACAATCAGTCTCAATGCGACCAGGCCATGATGATGGACATTCTGTCCAAGGTCGAGGACGAGGTGTCGCAAGACGTTTGCCTGACGGTAAAGCCCGCCGATACAAGCCGCATACCTCCCCCTGCCACCTGCTTCCTCGACTCGCAGGGCGACGAGGAAGAGCTGCAGTCGACGGCAGACGCCGTTTCAGGCACCGGGCCAGCTCGGCGGAATTCTCGCTGCAAGGAGCGCTAAAGCGCCGCGCTGCTCTCTCACCCAAAGAAAGGGGCACAACAGCCTCAGCCTGGCTTCCCGCCTTTGGCAGGAGCGCAAAGGCACAGGCTACGTTAGCAAGGACAAGCTCCAAAAGCGCCCCGGCTGGACATCAGAAGCCTGTAAGTGTGCTATTGCAGGCAGCCCTATTGTGCGAGTTCGGTAAGGATCCGTGGCCAGTCGTTGACTTGTGTCGCTTAAGGATTCTTGCAGCCGCAGGGGAGGAAGAATGAGCAGAAGCCCGCTCCCACGTTTTTAAATGCAACTCGCACAGAGGTGAGGCCGAGGGCGGGTGCATTTGTCATACTGGTTCCAGCAATGCTAACCCAAAGAATTGACGCCAGCGGACACGGGATCAAATGCCTGGAACCAGAAATACGTCTGTTGCACATATTGCAACTTTTAGATTGCAGGGCAAAAGTCCTGACATTTTCACGAAAGCAGTCGAATCCAGTCGTGTATTGTGCATACTTCCGACACCATAGAGCCATAGAGCCAATTCCCCACCAGTCCCAAGGATCCGGCAAGAGTTTGCTCCTGATCCCAAGCTGGGGAGTCATGAGCTGCAGGGCCAAGCTCGTGTGTGAGAAGCTAGGTCCCTGCGGGAAGCATGGCTCAGCTGTGGAAATCAAACTGTCCAACTAGATTCTTGGAGCGGAATGTGCACAGGGTCGTTGTAAAGAGAATTGCTCACTTACTAATGAATGCTGTCATTCTTGCAGATGACTGCTTGCGGAAGTCCTGCGGGGGACATCTGCAGAGGAACTATCTCCGAAGCTTCTTTCATGGTCTCACCAGATAGGTTCTGATTGAACTGGAGCAACCTACAAAGAAAAGCCTGCTCTGGCAGGCCAGATTGCCTTCTTGACACTTTTCAAAACCGGGCTGCCAGCAGCATACCTCAGCATACACCAGCAGTCTTGGGCAATGTGGGGCGAAGCAATTCTGACTTGCTTGTGAAATGGCCAGGCAATGGGAAGCATCGATTCCGTGGCGCTGCCGTCATGATTTCCCATCATGTCTGCTGAACCCACTGCTTCGGACCATGACCCAGCCGCGGCGATGGTATGTTCGGGTTATTCGGTTAGTCGGTCTGGATTCAGTGACAAGCACTGGCCAATCTGCCGGGCTTGGGGTGCCGCTGGCCACAGAACTGTTTAGACTCTGATGTCGGTCCTCGTCACCTCATTGTCCTTCACGCCAAAGCCCGCTTTGAGTCATCACATCTTCTGCTGTTCGGAGTAGCTTGAAGAAGGAGGAGTGAGAGTCAGAAGGTCACGTCACAAGCCAGGCGGCACTCCTACTGCAGATTCTGAATCAATTATCCTTAGGGGTGACTTGAACTCGACTGAACCTGAATTTCAGTGAACTCCACCAGAATTAGCCTTTCAGCTGGCAATCAAAGATCGTCTCCACACGGGCAGCACATCATGTTGAGCGCCTGTTGTGCTTCAGAGATGTGTTCGTCGCGAAGTCGACAACACAGTCTCGGTAAAGTTGGATGGAGGCGGTGCCAGCAGGTACAGACGACATGTCCAGGCTCTAGATTGCAGACATTTTGAAGCGCAACATGGCAGGCTGGTGGCCTGGTCCTTTTGCATGGTGCGCTTCCCCCGGGCTGCTTTTCATTGTGCTGCTGTCTCATAATGCAATTTACCTGCGAGTCGAGAAGCCCTGCCACGAAGTTTGGGTCAAAGCCAGGTACACCAATGGAGCAACGCCGCTTGAAAAGAGGCGACATTCGAGGCTTGCTTGAGGCAGGCCCAGGGCTTTGCTTTGGCGGCATCCTTTGGCGGCACGGAACGACTCGCCTGCATCAAGATGACAAGTCTGATTGGTTTGGAAGGCGTGCGCCCCTTGAAGAGGTCGACGCCCGAACTGCACAAATCCTATCCGAAAATCCACCCCCCACGCCCTCGCCAGCCTGCAATCGCGTCATGGCTCCCCCACAGAAAGGCGGTCAAAACCGAGAGGCTTGGGTAACACCGAGGCCCAGCTCGCAAGACCTGCAACCTGCGGCGGCTACCTATATGGTCATGCTCCCTAATGAACTGGCCACGACACCAGCTCTTACGACGTAGGTACCGCCGTCCGGAGTGATTTGTAGCCAGGTTAATTCCCAGGAGGGCAGGCTAGCCGCGCCCATTGTGGCCTCAAACGTCCCCCCCCCCTGCCCCTCCCCGGAGAGGGTGAAGATTACAAGTGCTTCTGTACGGCATTAATTCTGGCACCAGGATGCTCAGCTGGATCTGCCGGTGCGGCGGCGCTGGCCACACTGGAAAGCACCTCAGTCGGATGTTCGGCCCAGCAAGGCAGCTTTTGTTGACTCGTGGCGACACTTCTTGCGGCAGAGCCTGTCTGTGATGTGCCGAGATTGCATCGGCCTGCTCTGAGGTTGAAAGCCTTCATCAAGGTGCCATATGCTGGCAGCAGCTGCTATGTAGCTGGGCCGGTCGCATCTGGGGGTTCTGATGCATCGGGTGGTGACAGATGTCCGTGAGAGAGGGCGCACTCTCTTCAAGTAGTCTCTCAGAGCAGGCGGCTTCAAGGGTTCACGAGCATGACTGGATCTTCTGTCGATCTTCGCAAGGCAGGCTTGCAGCCAGCATGCGGCCCAGACCTTCCGGAGCCTTGTAGCCGGACGGATACTGTCGAGTCCTGCAAGTCGCACACACGGCATACACGTGAGACGCAATGGCTGGCCCAGCGTGCGATGTCACAGACGCCTAAGAACGCGCTGAACTGAGTCGCTCGCTACGTGTAAGGCCTTGCGGCTCCGCTTGGCGGAACTCGCCGACTGGGAGAGCAAGGCCGGTGCAGCTTTGCTTGTAGCATCGAATTCCAAAATGATGGAAAATAGCGACATGGACGAGACAAATCCTTTGTTTCTTTGAGTTGGAGACTGGCAGGAAGACCTCGCTCACGAACAAGCACCTTGGCAGAAGTCTTGGACGAGGTTTGGACCCACCTCACGCTTCGCGGCAGGAGTCTACATGGGGCAGATGGAAGTCTTGGGCGAGGTCAAGAGGATGGATTTGAAACCAGGGATCAGTACCACACTGCTGCGAGTGGATGCAAAGTTGAAGGGGTTGTCCAAGCACTTCAAGTAGCTTAGAATCGGCTTGGAAAGTGGTGGCACAGCTAGATCTGCAGTCAGTGCATATCACTCCTGGAAGTTCTGGTAGGCGAGCTGCTCAACATGCAGCTTAGCCAGTTCTTCCCGTTCCCTTCTTGCCCTGTGTCGCACTATGTCGCACTGCACGAGCGACATATGCTTGGGCCTCCGCAGCTCAAAGTGTGCTGCCGCGAAAAGGTCTTTGCCAGGATGGCGGATTTTGGCTTGCACAGCTGTTAGAGCTTAGTCCTATGACTTTCACCGCAGATACATCGATCAGCTCTTGAGTGACATCCTTTCTGACTCTGGGGTCAAGGGCTGCCCGGCTGCCCCAAACAGGGGAAAGGGGCCGAGATGGGCAGATGTGTCCGGCGGTCGACCTCCTGACGCCGAGGCAGGGGCATTGTGATGATTTGATATGATTTGTGTGCTTGCAGTATGACCGGCTTGGCCTGAACAGCTTCGGCAGGTAGCTAGTGCATGTCTGTGCGGCTGTTGCGGGGCGAGTTCAAAGATCCATGCCGGGCTTTCGACTTCTCAAACTTGGGAGACGTTCCATGATTGCAAACAGCCCCATCTCCGCAGTCACCCTGCATGATATTTCCTGCGCCGAGATCGAGCTCAAGAAAGGTGACACCGGAGGCCGCAAGAGACTTCACATCTTCCAACGGCTTCTTTTTGTGGCTCTGATGTCGGCACAGGGGCACTAGCTGCCTTGAACACAGCGATTGAGGCCCGCGTGTGCACTCGAAGTCGCGTAGCCGTAGCTTCTGGAGCCGACCAGTGCGTGACAGCGGAGGTGGAATCCCGGTGGCCCACGATATGGCTTCATCGTTCTCAGGCCAAGCTTCAGCACGGTGATTTCGAGGCCCGAACTGCGTCCTGCGAAGTGTTGGTGTTGAGCGACAGCGATCCATATGTGCCCAGGGGGCCATTGCGGATGCCACCACAGCCTTAGAGCTGGCTTCTCAGAAGAACAGGGCCACGACATGCCGTGACCGGTGTCTGTGCTTCGCCTGCTTGGCTCTGAGACTGGATGGCCGCATCACCTTGGCCTACGCCTCGCGCGGACTGCTTCTTCGCGTTCGCCTTGCTTCAATGTCCTGACCATGGCTGTACCGTAGTTCCTTGAATGTCTCGCAGGAGAGGCTCGGCTGCAGTCAGGCGATGCACTCAATGCAGCGACTTGGCAAGAACCGTCTCTTTGAAACGGCAGCCACCTGTCCAATCATGCCCGCCTCGGAGCATCAAGCATGGAGACGAGGCTGCTGACTTCGACACTTTCCTTGCGCAAGAGCCAACGCATGCGCTGAACTTTGCATTCTGGCACATAGGTCCTTGGTACCGTGAAACTGCGAACGCCATTCCGAAGAATCGTCGTTCGCCAAGATTGCAAGGCCAAAATCTTGTGGCGAAGAAGCAGAGCCCGCTTGGCTACTGGGCTGCTTTCAACAAGAGCCGGTAAGCTTAAAGTGTTGTTCGCTGCGCTTCCTCGGCCTAAGGAACTAGGACGACTTCGAGAGGCACTGGCCGACAGCCAGGCCTTCCCAGTCATAGTCGGAAATGTTTCCCTTTGCCGCAACACAGCATAGCAATATGGTCGGAGTTCGGCTTCGCATGCTGCCAAGCGCAGCCTCGATATGCCACAAGTGGTGACACTAGGCAGGCTTCTGTTTCGACCATTTCTGCATTGCAGCTAGATGGTAAGTTGCTCAAGGATGCCCAGAAGATGCCCCTCCGACCCGAAGATTGCATGTTGCCGTCTGTCGCAAGAACTGCGACAAGATGTGCACATGTGACGCAATTTGTACCTGCTTTTGGTGATCACAAGCCTGCGTTGAAATTGAAAGCCCGGCGCAGTGGAATGACGCCCACACCCGCAGCGGTCTCCCCTGACAGCTCGGGGCAGCCAAAATCAAGCCGAGCCTCTTGCATGCTTGAAGTCACAGCGCCTGTTAGTGTAAGCTGATGATGCGACCTGGCGACCCGGACACCTAAACAGAGCTGGGCTAACGATAGTGCGTGTCACCCTGGAGCAACGCACATTCCATTCGCGATTTACCGTACGCGTTGTGCAGAGGCGGCTTTGGACGCTGGCGGATTGACCAGCGAAGAGCAGGCCGACTGTCACCTGGCCGGGATCTTACTGCGAGAACTGAGCTGGCCTGAGCTTTTGGCCGTGCAGATGTAAAGCAGCATCCTACCCGAATCTTTCCTACAAGAGGTGACCGCCCTGGGCCGAATGCGCACGGGACCTGGCGTGATGGTCAAATCTGGACAGTCTGCTGGCGGCATACCTCGAGCGCGCGCTCATAATTGATGTTGCAGCTTGCGTTCGGGGATCAATGAGAGCAGTGGGCTGTTGCAAACCCCAGCAGACCCGTTATCACCCGTCAGCTGAACCCAAAGTGCATCATTAGAGTACATCGCATCCCGATCCGTCCCGCTACCTCGCTGCATGGAGCCTTTATGGGAGGATGGCACTGAAGGCTGGATCCCGCCGCAGCCAACAATACCAGAATTGAGCGAATACTGTTGCTGCAGGCTCTACCCTTGCTATGTTTCCTGGCCAACGGTTCACCTCCAAGGACCCAGACTCATCCTGCCTTTGACCCTGGCCACTTCTTTGCACCAGATGTTTCAGCCAAGTCCATGCTTCATGTTCAAAGCGCGGATGAAGCAGAGGCGAGCGAAGGGTCAACAAGGGGCACATCGGAGGTGGGCTCACATTGGCAGATGATCCCGAGTTGCTTGGCTATTGAAACTGCGCAGGTAGCCTGCTGCGTTGACGTGGGCTCATTTTGAATCCTCACCTGTCCGATGAAGCCAGGTTTGCAAAGAAGCCAGAGTCGGCCACTGCCCTGTCGGACACCGCAGTACATGCCTGTTTACCTACTTGTAGGAGTCGGGAGGTTTAGGTTCCTTGCAGCATCCGAAAGCCTGTGATGTCAAGAGCGCGTGTGTACCCGACAGTGCGAGCAGTGCAGCAGGGGCTACAGTAGAACACAGGCGCGGGAACCGCAGCAGGAAGCACTGAGGTCTGGGCCCCCCACCCAAAAAAATATGTTTCGCAGGCAACAAATTTGTTAAGTCGCTTGCGGTGGGTCAGAACCTGTCTGCAATCACAGGACCCGGGCTGTGAATCCGCCGAGGGCTGGCCAGAGCCGGGACCCCTGCGTCCAAGTGCACAGACATCCGACTCCTATTGTGTTTTCCGATGACCGACCGGAGGTACCGCCGGCAGCTCCTACGCCTAGCCACGGAAGAGTGGCGAGATGCGGCTGCTTTCGCTTTCGCCGAGATCTCAGTCTGGCTAGAGTCCGTGACAGACGCAGGTGAAATAAATGCGTAGTGCTGGGAGTTTCTACAGTCCGACACGAGCACGGATGAAGCCCTTCGCCGGTTGTTGAACACTATCATAATCTTCAGTCTAGAACGCTCGACCAGGAATGGATGAACACAAAGGACATGATGAAGCCAGAAGCTCAATTGTGCTTCTGCCGGTGGCGAAGTTTCAGTAGCTTCAGACAAGAGCCCTTTCTTTGCAGGACCAAAGTCATGGATGAAGAGGCGAAGAGTTGCCTCCTTGGAGTTATTGTAGGAGACTCAGGGGCTGCTGTGCAGATGACTTGCATGCTTCAGATACTTCCTCACATGGAAATGGCCCATGAGCTCAGACTTCCCTCTACTTTCTCGCGAAGTACTCCTTGGAAGTCGCAGCCTGAAGCGCTGAACTTGAACATGCTCCAGTGCCAGGGATAAGACAATGCGAGACTGTCGTGCTCGTGCTCCTGGCGAGGAGGACGGCAGCTGGGAATCCGCTGTTTATCTGATGAGATCCATGAGCGGCTACGTGCTGCTTGCATGCTATGGCTTGCAGTGTGCGCTACAAAAGCAAGGGGAAGCGCTCTACGGCTTGCACCAAGGTCCAGCTTACATCCAGACAAATTTGATCAGATCACCCAAAATGGCCAGCGATGGCCTGTTACTGCATCGATCTCAGGGCCACCAGTGGCAGCATGGATCGTGAAGACTCCACTCAAGTTGTTACTTCGTGTATGTCGGCATGATGCAAGCGTAGGCCGGGGCCAGCGCAGATAAGGTCGCCGAGCTGGACTCGATGAGGAGACACCTGGCTAGCGCATCGCAGCAGAGGACCTTGGGTCGCTGCAGAAACCCTGCGGCCATGCAGGTGTCACAGTGCAGGCACTGTTGCAGATCCCGCAGGACAACTACAAAATGGAAAAACAGCGAGGGCGAACGTGCCAGCCTCCGATCTCGTTCTTCTGCATGTCGACCATATGTCTTGCGCCATCAAGGCTTCGAGGGCAACGTGTTCGGATTTCAAGGCTCAGACGATGTGGAGGAAGGAGTTTCTCTCCGAGACTCCCTGAAGATCTACGTCTATGACGTTGAGGAGCCAGTGCTAGGTCGGAGTCCAGTGAAGTCCGTGTCCTGGTACTGTAGCTTTTTGAACAGGAGTACCCGGAGCTTCAGACGCTTGCGCGTGGAGCATCCTTTTGCCGCTGCACGCTTATGACCACCTCGTGCAGCTGTTCTCTCTATAGTTTCTGAAGAAGACTGAGTTGGTCCGAGGCGAGAACCAGTGGGGCTTCGAGGTCAGCTTGCACGAATGGTTTCTCTCATGTCCCTGCCGCACTGATGATCCATTGGAGGCCCGCTGGGTCGCAAAGTCATGTTAGGCCTGTGTCGGTGTGTGGACACTTGTTTTGAGTGGCTCTTGGACTTCGCATCTGAGGCGGATTTCTTTTTCGTTCCTCACTACACCGCCTGCCATCTGAACGTGGAGACGTTCACGGAGGCACGTCCGCTGAACACAAAAGTCTGTGGCACGCTCGAAAGCACAAGTACAGACATCGTGCCCAGGCACAGTCTGACGAGCTTTTCAAGAGCTGCAGTGCTGCAAGCAGGCATCAAGCTTCGATTCCTCTTGTTCGCCCAGACCGTACCTCATTTCAGCTTTGCCCTATAAGCGTCAACTGAACGTGAAATACTGATTGCGCAGTGGACTGCTTCACATTGTAGGACTATCAGGATTCAGCTGCGGAGACAGAGTTAGGGGACTGTTTCTTTCTCAAGCAAGAAGCGGACAATGTTGCCGGAGTCAGGCAGGCATTTCGGGGCTTGCGTGCTTTCCAAGCTTTGCAACCAAGGCCTGGTGCAACGACTGACACATTACAGACGCTCACGGGGCAGGGACCACGTCTTCGTGTGGGGTGGTGGCTTTGGCTCCTCGTCGCATGATGTCGCAGTGTTGCATCCATGTATCTTGGCAAGGGAGGCAAAGAGGCCCTCGAGGCAGACCGAGGAGCCGATGGGCCCTTCCGCTCATGGCGTGCGCACGTCGAGGATGCCATCTTCCTAATGACGGTCACTCGGCCCCCACGACGTGCAAGTGACGCCAAGTGACGAGCGTGACAGCAGCGTCGCCAGTGGTGTCAGCTCCATGCTGTACTATGGTGCTCGATCATGGCTGAGGAAACGGAGCTTTGGAATCCATATCGCGACATCTCAACTCCCTCCTTTTCGCAGTGGAAGGACTTTGCCGTCTGTAGTTGTGACGCGCCACGCATGGCACGGACTGGTAGCTTTCCATTCGCCGCGCCTGTGCACAAGGGAGCTAATGCAAGAGCCTGATCCAATTCCGTGATAGACATGTTGAAAGCAGCAGCTGGCCCACTCTCACGTCAGGACATCTTGATCCCCGGCAGGATCTCCGTCGGGGAGGTGGTGCAGCTGTCCAAAGTCACGCCAAAGCCTGCATCGCGGCAGTTCTTGGCAGACTTTGCCCGGCCCTCAGAGACAAACAACTTCCACATAAGGTACAATGAAGTATAATGTACCCTTACACAGCAACATAGGGCACCACGTGCAGTGATGGCAGTCATTCTAGTTGCACACAGAGCTTTAGGCTGTGCGGCAGCTATGAAGTCGATTTATAGTTACGTGAGTGTTACGTGCATGCATACACATACATACCGCCGCGTATGTATGTATGTATGTATGTATGTATGTATGCATGCATGTATGTATGTATGTATACGGCTGCATGTATGGATGTTTGGATGTCTGAATGCGTGGATGCATGGAAGTGTACTTGCAGGGTGTATGCACTGATGCATGTGATGTGGTTATGTATGTATGTATGTATGTATGTATGTATGTATGTTTGTATGTATGTATATATGTATGGGTAGGTGGGTAGGTATGTATGTATGTATGTATGTATGTATGTATGTATGTATGTAGTTAAGTATGTATGCATGCATGTATGTATGTATGCACGTATGTATGTACGTGATGTGTGGTAAGTGTGGTCATTATGGTAGGTCTGTAATGTATGAAATAAATGTAATGAAAGTAACATATGTAATGTATGTTCTGTATGTGCTGTGTGTACTGTATGTAATGTGTGCAGTGTATGACAGTGCATGCAATGTATGATCGGTCTGTCTGTCTGTTTGTCTGCCTGTCTGTGTGAATGTATGTATGTATTTTTGTATGTTAGTATGGTATGTATGGTACGCATGGTCTGTAACAGCACATATGTATGCATGCATGTATCTATGTATTCATGCGTGCCTGTCTGTCCGTCTGTCTGTATGGCACGTACAAGAGTAGTGCATGCACATGCGCGTGCATGCAAGCTTTCACGCCCGCAGGCAGAAACAGACAGAGACGGATAGGATCATCCGCATCTGATGCGGCAGCTCTCACAAGCGAGATGTCGGCAATCCTGAGCAAAGCATAGCTACAACAGCAGCCAGCAGACCGGCAGACAGACGGACAGACAGACAGGCAGACAGAAACGATTCTCATAGCTTCACGTTGGTACATTTCCTGCTTTATCGACAGCAACGGCATCATCATCATCACCATCATCATCTGCGTTTTCCTCTCCACCATCTTCATAGCTTGATGCACTTTCGTCGAAGCTGTCGTTACATTCATCGTCTTCACTATCTTAATCATCACAGTCACCATCATCGTCATGATCTTCATCACCACCACCATCATCACCACCATCATAATCGTCATCAGCAGCATCATATATAAAATAACAGGCGAGAGACACAAGCATAGCAGAATGGGGCTCTGCACCGGTCCCAAAAAGATCAGGTTGGCTGGAATCGACCCCTGCACAATGCGCAGGGCGGCTTGAACTCCAGTGCTTTGCCTGGAAGTCTAGCTTGCGGGTGTTGTTCCAGGATTTGCACTGGATGTTACATAATAGGAGCATGGGATCTCATTTATCTCGTGCCCGGTAGTCATCCGAGAAAGGTGGCTGTACCCGAGACTGCATTCTTGACTGATGCAGACACCGCGGGCTGCGAGCCAAGATCTGCTCTTAGGCTCTCCTCGGGAGCTCCTGCTTGAGATGGCCAACGAGCCCTCCAGTCGCAAGAGGCGAATTCTTGTGTGCAATGTCACCGCCACGAATGAGTCGCCCACCCATGGGGAATCACTCCTCCGAGCAGAAAGACAGCAACAGAATCCCGACACCGCGGCTCCCTGCCGCGCCACTCACATTGGGAAGTGTTGATTGCGCGCAGAGCAAGTGCAAGCCATCCAGCAGGACATGGCGCAAACCAGGAGTCGAGCACGGTTTTGGTAGTGGCATGCCAGCACCAGTGGTTCGTTGACCCATCATGTGCGAATGATCGAACTCAGGGAAGCCGCTTCGTTGCAAGCAGTTCCAAGCCCAACATGCCCTTGTCCAAGAAAACGAGTCGAATCCTGAAAGAAGTGCGGACCGACACGCCGCTAGCATTGCTCGACCCAGCCACAGGTCAAGAGTGCACCAAACAAGCGCGACTTGGTACGGGCAGCGGTTGCGCAATCCGCCCTGGGACACACTACAGTCAAACTTGAGTGGAATTGCATTCATCAAAGTGGAGCGAGGATTGAATGCTTCACCCCCGCCCTGCTTGCCCTGCCCGCTGCCTGCAAGCTGGGGATAGAGCAGATCGCCAAGCTTCACCAGCTCAACCGACTCTTGACACAACCTTGTCAAGGAACAGATGATCCTGGGATGTTTGAGAAGTGGTAGCGCCCGCAACCCATTTCACCGACTGCGGTGGACATGCGAACGCTGCAGCAGGAGACAGAAGCCCGGCACAGCGGGCGCGTACTCACTGTGGGCAACAAGGGTCAAGAGAGCAGTCAAGGTCCTCCCGAAACGCAGCAGGAAGGGTGGGCCGACGGGATCAGCGAGGCAGTCCCCTAAACCTCAGCTTCTGGCCCGACCTACCGGGCCACGTGTGCGTGCCTTCGAACATGGACAAAGCCTCGCCTGCATCGTCCGAGTCGCGAGAGTCTAAATCCCAGCCCTGCCTGTTGCGAGAGCGGAAACGGCAGTGAGCCCAGCACTGGAGACCGGGAGGGGAGCTGCAGCCCTTTGCTTGGAGGGGGATGGAGGGTGGTGGATTCGGAGACTTCCTCCCTCTCCCTCTGGGGCCCCTCTTCTCAAACAGGTCGAGAGAAGTCGCGAATCGGGGGGTCCAGTGCATTGCAGCAAAGGCCCGACCTTCACATCCGCCAAGATGTACCCTATCGAGAGGCCGCAGCTGCACACCATGAGCTGCCAGAACTTCTGCTGTGTTCTGCCATCAAACACGCTTGATTCACTCGACCAGGCAACTGAAGGAGCGCTGTCTTCCCGGTTTTGCTTCGTTCCGAGGGGCAAGTCGGCATGGTCCTCCAGGCGCTCCTGCAGGGTTTGACACAACTACTAAACACTTCCCAGAAGAGTGCATCTGAGTTAGTCTTGAACCTGGGTGCACAGAGCCGAGGCACACGAGGACTTGAGTGTTTCGGGCCAAGCTCGTGCTTGTGAGGTTCTTCCGCGTGCTCTTTTCCGATTGCGTGCCAGTCCTTCTGAACGACTTCTATGCCCAGCGCTCGGGTTCTGCCAAAACTCGCGGATTGTCCAAAATACCGTGGCGAAGGATCAAGAGAGCGACCCAGGATGCATGCTGATCTGCCGTTTGGTTCCCCTGCCTTTGCAACAAGACCTCGGCACTCCCGACATCTCCCGACGGTTCAGGAATGAACAAGCCAAGACCACGGACGAAGCTGTGGAAAACAGATATCGGGTAGGATTCCGGAGAGAAGACCACGTACAGCCTGGCAGATGGTCGAAAGATCATCTGGCATGGGACAGACACAGCTTCCACGCAACCACTAACGGCATGCAAACGGAATGAACGAGCACCTCTGGTGCACAGAACGCGACAACCAATAAAACAAGACAAGAAATCCGTCAGTTTCACATCTAGACACTGCGACGAATCATCTTCAAAGAAAGACCGTTTCAGCAGGTCATGGGGCCAGGTTTGCGTGCGAGAGCTCTGGAAAATCCTGAAAAAGGCTTCCGGACAACTGCAAACCTTGCGAACGGGCTCGGTCTTGGGCGCAAGAGTGACTTGGCATCCGGTCTCTGACCGAGGAGCCGCCGTATGGAGAGATCTTCGACTCCTCCGGCTTCACTGTTCGATGGCCCATGCAGCAGGTTGGCCAAGAGCTCAGGGTGAGGCTCTCCCCTTGCTCTCACTTGCTTGAAGTTCCCAGTGGAGCATCGACGATTGTAATCGAGGTCCCGAACTCCTGCAGGCTTTGCGGATGGTTTCCATTGAATCGTTGGAAAAAATGTCGGGAGCAAAGCTTGTCCCATCCTATCCCTTCCACCTGTGGCACAGGCTTAGTCAGTCAGTGTGTGTGTGTGTGTGCGCGCGGGCTTGGGGCCAACCTTCGAAACAGCCATCAAGGCTGTGCCACTTACCCTCCTGCATACTCTTTCCGCCTTGCACAGCTCAGACTGTTGTTGTAAGAGGAGAGCACGGTCGGACTACACACATGAGGCTAGAGAAAGCGCACCGCCATCGATGCTGGCAGGGCCCAGAGCGGTTGGGGTTTTGACTTCCCCAGTTGTGCCCAGATCGCGAGCGCTGGGAAAAATGGCTTCCTCGTGAAAGGTATGTTTGGGTGCCTGCATTCATGGACCATGACAACGTGGACCGTCAAGGGCGGAGTCCTTCAAGCGATCCCCATCGACAGCCGCCCGCTCTCCAGGACGTGCAGAAGCAGAAGCTGGCGAAGCCATGTCCAAGGTGGAGATCCGAGAATGCCTTCATCGGAGTCATGAGGCGACAGCTGAGTCCATGACAGACAAATGACTCAGACGGTGAACGCAACCATGGCACCATATGGGAGGCTGCTACGCCGCCGCCGCCGGGCAAGCCATCTGCCCGCGCTGGGAAAAGCCTTTCACATTCCCGACGAGGTTTGGGTGGGCGGAGGGCTTGGCAGGCCAGGGCTTGGGATCCGAGTTCAGGCCGGAGAGCCACTGCAGCTTGAGCCGGCTGTCCGATGAGAGGCCGGGCCGGGATGCGGGAGATGTGTCAGGGGATCCCCTGAGGTCTTGGTATCCCTTTGAGCCAGGCATGTTATCCCACAAGAAAGCTTCACGTCGGGCGCTCTTCGATGTGTTTGCAGGCCCGGCCATAAGCTGTCACTGAAACTGTATTTAGTTGGAGTAAGCAGATCCCACTCTAAGGACCATCCGAAGCACGATACCTTGCATAAATGGCGCGACGGACTGCGAGCTGCCTGCCTCTCGACGGAAGGCACGGCAGGCTTCGGGCCTGTCGGCCGGAACAGTGCAATCACGACTGTCCAGCCAGGCTCACGAAGGCAGCGCCGACAAGCACACGACAGCCGTCATGATGCAGGGAATGCGTGATGCCGCGACGCCCATGAGCGGATTAGGATTGAAGCCCGAGGGAGCCAGACTGAACTACTCTGGCCAGCACCCTTGGAGGCCAAGCGAGCATGAAGCAAGCTTGAGCTTAAAAGGTGGTCTCTGCCGCAGGGCGGTCGACGGATCTTCGAGCTGCTCTTTTGCGGCGAAGAAGCCGTGCAAGTGCTACGAAAAAGTGAGGGAGTCAATGTCGACCTCGGTTGGTCTCCGACTTCAGGAAGCGATCCCTCTCGCCTTCTTTGCCCCTCTGTGTCCTCCGTCACAGGGGGGTTTTATTACAGAGCTCAATTCTCCGGGCAACTATGCTCACCCGAACCTCCATGAGTCGCCCCTGGCCTGAGTTTCATTTCGGGAGACAGCCCATTCCCGATCAGCGCCGGCAGACCCCAGCAATCCCCGTGGCATGAAAGCTGAAGGCATCACTTCTCAACCTGAAGGGCGTGACAAGACTGGAGCAGGTGATAGCAGGTGCCCATCCACCGTGAAATTACCTCCGATTCCAAAACTCGGCACGCTTGCCGGCATCCCGAAAACCCGAGGCACATGCTCCAAGTTGCTGCAAGATTGCAGCGTGCATCAACCATGCTCTGCATGTACCTATGTCTTTGTTTTGTTTTACACCGGTGGTGACTTTGCTCCTGCCGAGGCCTCGCCGTGGGGCCGGAGTCCATCTCAAAAGCCTGTACCTCCGCACTGCTCCTGAACCCCGGTTTGCACGAGGCGAGGCTTTGGGCTCGGGTCGCAGTTTCGGCATAAGGGGCTTGGGAAAGCAAAGTGCAGGCCATGCTCGTTCGCGGCCAAGCGCAGCTTCGCCTGCTCCCTTGCACGTGCTCTGGGTTGCGCCTGCTTGATTTTGCTACCTAGTGCTGTCAGGAGGCAAGGACATATGGGTGTTTGATGCATCGGAATAGCTGCAGCAGGAGCTGTGACACGCACACGGGTCCGAAAACGCTGGCTGCCGAGAACTGGGCTTCTTCGCCGCCTGCGAGCTCGATTGTAGCGATGCCCTGGAAGCGATTCCAAACAGCGCGGCGGTCTGAGTACATGACATCACCCGACTACACTTCCTGCTGTAGCTGCTGCCAAAATCCCTGGTGCAGTGCCCGTTGCAGAGCTGGGTCACATATTATATGTTTGCAGTTGAGATGCCTGTCTACAGCATCTTGATGAAGCTGATTGTTTTTGCTGGCGAGCTCGTTCACCCGACAAGGCTACTGCGTGGGCCACGCGGGGCAGGGCGCGGCTGAAGCCTGGCTTGCAAGCTTGTTATGGCAACTTTGTGCAAATGACGAGTTTAAAGAATCGCAGATGCCACAGGCTGGCTCAGCCTGATTCAAGTTGGCTCATGAACTGCTTGTCGGTCCCACTGCCGATTCCTGTTGATCCTTCGCAACATTGTGAGATACTTAGGAGACAAAAATGCTACCGGGAAGCAGCTGACGATTGTCGGCAGTCTCTTGCACTCGATGCCACAGCCCAATACGTCATCATGCGACACATCGATTGCAGCCGCCGCCGAGAATCAACACTGCTCAGGCGCAGTGCCGCTTGGCCATGTCGACACTGGGTGCGGCGCTGCTGAATTTGGGCACGTGGCCAAGCTTGTCGCACGATTTCGTATCAAGATGCAAAAAGAAGCAAGCGTGCGTGACAGTGGCGTCACCTGCCTAGCCCATGTCAATGGTTGGTCATGCTGCAATATTGTCATAATGCGCGCAGCTTGTGCTGCATGCCACACAGAACTGAGGTGACAACCAAGGAGCCCTTGAGTATTGTGATCAAGCGGTACACGCTATGCTACAACCTGAGATGGCCGCAAGAGAACAAGACGTAGGATGATCCGTCGTGCTGAGCGATCGCACGCACTGCTTTCTTGGGCGCACAAGCAAGGTTGGATCCGAAAGGCGAAGCTGAGGCAGGGTGTGTAGAGAGACTCGTTCTCTCACATATCTTCCCGTGCTGCTTGTGGATTTGTATCAGGCCAAAGCTCAGAAAAAGTCCAAAAAGAAAGCCGGCATGTCACGAAACAAGGACACTCTGTGCCTTCGCACTTCGGAAGCACCTGCGCAATCGGCAGACGTGTAATGTCTACTCACAGCCGCACAGGATCGTAAGAAATTCAAGGCCAGCCTGCAGCACATCTGAGACCCCGTGGCCGCAAGGCATGGGTTTTGTCAGGAGAGGAAAACAGTCAGCAAGACGCTGCCTCAGTTCGCTTTGCAGCGCTGGGCACGAGACGGTGCACGACGCCTTTGTGCACCTGTAGACGGCGTTGTGCCGTATGATACAACACACTTTCGCAAGGATTGCTGCCTCGAGTGCCTCTCTCGCTACGTCAGCAACCACAGAGCCATGCCCTCGTTGGGATTCGGCGAACGTCCGTTGAAGGGGCCAGAAGTGGCTGAGGCCAGAAGTCACCGGCGAGGATGACTAAAACAGCTCGCGCTTTGCAGCTGCATTGTTTGGACTCTGCTCGTGATGGGACTATGGCCTGCAGGAGATGGAGATGATCGAGCCCGGCCCTGAAGAATCAGAGCAAAGAGCCGAGGTAGAAACAGGCCGGGCGTGTTGCCGGGCCCTTTGCGGGGGTATCATGCGATGCTTGCTACCAGAGGTTGCACGGCTGCAGGACAGGAGCAGGAGCAAGCCCCGGACAGCCCTGTGGCTGAGTCACAGGACGGGGAAGGAGGCCAGGCCAGAGGTCGTCCTTCCACTGCTTTTTACATGTGTTTGCCACGCAGGTCAGGAAGGAAATTCACTTGATGCCGAGACTTCTGCCGTCCAAGTGGTGGGGAGCGCAAGTCTTTGGACCGTTAATTTTAACCTTTGAAGTCCGAGCAGTGTGTGAGCCTATAGGAAGCCGAGCGGGACATGGACAGATCAGAGATCGAGGCTACGTCAGATTCTTCATTCTGGGAGCATGAATTGAAACACCTGTCGCTTATGATAAGGATTACGGCGGTGCTCTCATTGCCAGGAGCTGGCAGACTTGTACACGATGCTGGCTCAGGCCAAGGTGGCGCTGGGAGACTTGGCGCCCTGACTGCTTCAGTTAGCCCATCCTTGAGTGGGTTTCGATGGGTTTCGTATGGTTCTCATTAAGGACGGAACCATTGAAGACTGCTCTCGTGCCTTGCAGCTGAATGACTTGGCCTCGGGTGCTCAGATATTTGTGCATACCATGCACAGCTCGAAGGTGAGTGTCATGTGCGATGAACTCTATGGGCGAGCTTGTGCTTTCAATCGTTCGATGCTCAGGAGCGAGTCCCGTTCTGCACAGGCCTTAGGAGATTAGTAGTGGAATCAGACAATGTAGCTTTGCATTTATTGTGCTGCAGGTTGTTGTTCTTTCTCATTGTTTGCATGAAGGCTGGGCAGCACGTGCCGAAGCCAAGCGATTGCAGCCAGCAGCCCCAGTGTGTACTTCTGGGAGAACAGCTGGCTGACGCAAGTGAGCCTTAAGCCCATCACGAGTGCACAAGTTTGCTGAGAGAGAACGGGTCACACAAGAAGCGCCAAAACTCGGTGCGAGGGACAAGCTGGATGATGCTGTCGCAGATGCCAACGAGGTGCCTCGGTCAAATTTGGAGTCCGGCTGCCTTATCTGTATGCAGTAACATGCAGGCGCTCCGCTTGGATCCTTTGAATGTGCACCGTGCTCAGCTGCTCAAGCTGCCGGATATCGTGCGCCCGTCTGGCAATTGCGGGTTGGGACAAGGCCGGCCTACATCACCCGGGCAAAGGCGAAGTTGAAAGCAGCGCATTGGCAATTTGCGCGAAGCCCAGATACAGAAGCGATGTGCTGAGAGCTGCTGGGGACTCGTTGACTTGCAGTCATTTACCAGGAGTCATCAACCATTGCTCGTTCGACTAGTAGAAGAAATCGTGAGAAGCTCCAGAAGTTCCTGTTGCCAGACCCCGAACTGAGTGGAGGCCGCTGAATCGAAAGTCGAAGTTGACGAAAGGAGTAACTTGTGTTTTGGCTTCCGCCAAGGGCACATCGGCGTATCAGGCAACCATGCAGGCTTCAATAATTTCAATGATGACGGCTTCGTGGAACTTCAAAGTCATTATAAATGAAAATCATAATTCGCCAGCGCTGGCTGGCAAGCATCTTGCACGGGGAACCCGGAGCAAACAACTGCATGGTTTTGGGAGCAGCGCCTCAGCGTTGTGTGGTGCGTCGATGATACTCGTAAGCCATAGGCTCTGCATTAATTACCCGTTAGCATGCAGTTAGGCATTCCTCACACCGGGCTGTTCAAGGTCGTCACAGATTGCAGCGAAGCACTAGCTTTGGATTTACACCAAAGCAGTGCCTGGTCGGGTCACCTAGTCATGAGCACTGAGAACGCCATTCCCACCTGGATGTCGAAGCTTGCGGAGGTCCACGCGAGCAGCGGCCAGGCGATCTTCGTGCTTACAGAACGCTGACGGCATCGAAGAGAGCCGTGCACTTGCCGTGCAGTTGGCAGGCTGGAGCTCGGTGACATATCCGGATCTGTGAGCGACGCGCGAAGTGCGGGTGGCCCAGAGCTGACACATGTGTTACCGATGTGGCAAACTTGAGAGTGGCTGCTGCCAGCTTCGCTGAAGGCCATCACATTAGACGCGGACCGGGGCTAAGCTTGTCATGCTGATGACAACTTGCCGTGGGTTCGATGATGCTAATTTTGTGGAAATCCAAGTCATGCATTTGATGCCCGTGCTCGAAGTCTTGAAGAGGAAAACGTGGCTGCATGGTGTGCGCAGCTCGGGATTCTGCATGGCACAGCAAAGCCCAGAGCACCATAGCCGCGTAAGCTTGCCTAGGCACTCTAGGTGGAGCCCTGCTAGACAACCTCGACATCGTCGCTTCTGCAGAGGCGTCCAGCAAGGCCGGGACATCTCTCCGGATACCGACCGCATGGAAGCCGGGACTCTGTCAGTGTCATGTGGCGCAAGTAGCAGCGGAATCAGAATCAGTACTTAACACAAGATATCTCAAAGGCTATCGGCCTGGACCCGGGCTGTGCGCGAGCCTGGCCACTTTCTCGGTTCTTCCGGGTCGGTGTCGGTGCATGCGGGTGTATGGACTGTTGGGAAGACGTAGCCGACTTGGCAAAGCCGACAACGATGTAGTACTGACGTAGTGTAGACTCGCTCGACGATTGTTGGACATCCTTTTCTCCAAGACTTCATGACACTGTAAACATCTGGACTTGGACCGGATGCCGAGGTAGTGCACGGTTTAGAGTCGGCTAGAGCATATGCACTTCCATGCTTCTTTTCTGCTTTCCACGGCTAGATTGGGATGATGGCTCCGTGCACTTCACAGCACTGGGTGTATCAGAATTCAATTCAAAACCTCCTGGGCCCAGGTTCAACAGAGGCTGCGCGCGGGCCGACCTGCAGGATTGCGGGGCCTGTATGGCAAGACACAGCCACACGAAAGAAGCAACAGCCGAATTTTTCTTAAGGACCTTGAAGGTGCTCGAAAAGACTTCGACGAGGTCGTCAAGCTTTGGCCGCCCCTTGCCATAACGACATATAACGGCGATTTGCCGCAGTTCTGGTGTTCATACTCAATCGCACTGCTGAGACTCCGTATTATTGCATTGCAGGGAGAGCTTCATGGCTTTTGCTCACCGTCGCGGCCTTGCATGGGCAGCAGACTTGCACCCAATATGCAGAAGCCTCTGTGACTTTGCATCCTTCTTTCTTGACAGGTGCCCATATTCGTCTGAAGCAGAACGACCCCGAAGGCGTCATGCATCGTTGTGTTGTTGTGGAAAGGAATGTTGTGGAAGCTGCTGGCTATACAGAAGCATTCGTCGTTTGCTTCCGAGCCTGACGCAGGTGCGTTGCAAGATTGCGAGCAGGCTTCGCAGCTAAGCTTGACCGCCACTCTGCGCGGCCATGGACCCCCAAGCCAATTCGGCCTGTATGTGCCTGCAGGCGCTGAAACTGGACAAGCGGCTCGTGAGAGCAATGTGCACCTTCCATTACCCATAGCCGAGTCGCGAAAAGTCGAAACGTTTGGGCAGGTGCACCCAAGCTCAGATCAAGCGAATTATGGGTGACTTGAAAGGACCCAACAGAACAATCGGTAATATTGCTCACAGAGTCGGAAGTGTGGTAGGAGCCGTGTCCGATGCAACAACAGCGCTGAAGCGCTGAGCTTGGCAATGGGTGGCACTGGGATAAGCCAACCATGTTGGTATGCTTCGCTTTATGAGGTATGAACCAGACTGCGCGTCTGCTTTCTCCATCCGCCCAGCGGTTGCACTTCAGTCGCTCCATAAAGGATATGCCACGCGCAATTTGATAGGTGGCCAGGCCTATTCCAAGATGGAGAAGCACGACAAAGCAGTCCAGGACCTGTTCTGGGTTTTGGTCTGCATTGGCTGAGGGGTCTGTTCCGCTTCGGTTGTGGTGTTCCAGGACTGCCAAAGAGCCATTAAGCTGGACCCGCCAACCTTGGAGGCAGGAAGTCCCAAGGCTAATTTGCCCCGTGAAGCATGCGTCAGACTTGTCGTAGCCAGACTCCGATGTTGGCGTGGCGGCACGCTTGTGCCGACATCTCAGCGAAGGTCTGTGTGAGGGTGCCAGTATCCATGAAGCGAGTTGCAAGCTGTAGCAGCATGGCAATCGACAATGCGATTTCCCAGGCATCTGATCCGGTCCCGTCGCCGATGACGGTGTGGGAGCAACCTGGCCGCATGGAAAGGCATCGATGAGACCGAACCCCCCAAGACGTGTCTCTCGAATGCTGCCCTTCTAATCAAAGGTTTCAGGCTCTGGCTGCAAAGATGAAACAAGAAGCGAAGGCAAGCTCCCGGTGTCGTAATCTCTGTGGGTTGCAAAACGTGTAATTCGTGTCAAGAAAGGCCCAAGCAGCGGCAGAGGCTGCAGCGAAATGGGCACGGAAGGTCGGCAGCATACACGTTTTCCGGCTCTTGAGTAGAGGACGGGGAGTGCCAGGCCAAAGCCGCTGCTGCGAAGAAAGCCGAGGAAGAAGCACTGCCGCTTGTTTCGTTTTATTCGGGAGGAACCTATCGAAAAGGCTTTGGCATTCCAATGGTCCTGAACCCAGGAGAGCAAACATGAAGAAAAATCGCACCAACCTCGGTTGAGATTCTTGTTACAGGGAAGGTTAACTGGAAAGGACGAGCGAGCTCGTCAAGCATGGGCGTACATCTGCATGCCCTCTCAGGCAAGAGTGTGAGGTGAAGCCAAGTGAATGTGTCTCACCCAATCGCTCCTGGCGATTCGCGACCGCAAAGTGGATAGCGATGAGCACAAACATGAGGAGGGCTGAGTAGGGTGCAGCAAAGCTATCGATCTACAAATCTCGCAAGCCAAGAAAAAAGTAGTAGTAGTAGTAGTAGTAGTAGTAGCAGCTAGTCTGATTAAGCAAGTAAGAAAACATATCATACTCGCCTTTCCCAGTAACTACAACCCATCTTCAAACTTTTCCTCAAAATCATGAATTTTCAGGGTCTGAGGAATGTGAGAGCATATGTTCACCTGCCCAGTTACCCAACATTAAAAGAGTATCTCAATCAGCTGATAGACGAACTCTTGAATGTAGAAATACCGATCAACCGCAGGCTTTGTTCGACTTCAAACACACAGTCCACCCACTTTACATGATGTCGGCTTTGGTCGCTATGCTGCTTGTCGGAACATGTTGCACTGACAGCTTGAGGAATTTGCATATGTTGAGTGAAGCAGAGCGATACAGTTGCAGTCCAGCTCGAGAAAGCAGAGGGAGTCACTAATGTGCGAGTCCCATTCAGGACAGTGACTATTCTGCAATTCTGCGGTTCGTCCAGCGTTTGCAGAACCCATAAAAAGGCCATCGTGCTTTCATTGCATTTGTCAAATTGCCATTGCCGTCATGGCTATTTTTTGTCGCCACAACTTTAGGGCCTCAAGTGCGTCGAGGCTATCGGCACTTTTTTCCCACAGTGACAGCCGTAGTCTTGGACATCACCGACTGGTCACGAATCGTAACTCGGCTACACGAACCAAGGGGAACTTTCCAGAACTCATCGGTATCACATCGCAAAGCATTGCAGGAGACCTTGAGATCAGCGATGCATACATGGGTCCGCTGTGCATGTCATGTGCTGCATTTCACGTTCGGCTCTTGGTTTCTTGGCCCGAGTCACCGGAGACTTGAGAGATGCCAACTCAGAATGCCTTATCCCTGGCAAGATGTGGCCTTCGGAGCTCGGCCAGTCCAGCAAGCCCAGGTCCTGAAACATCTCAGGCTCCGGCCAGGCAAGCGCCTCCCTTTCTTGGACCTCCCGGCGCGTGAAGGCCTCCCTTCAGGGCTTCGCGTGGCATCGCTTCCGAAAGAGGCGATCTCGCTCGCAACAACGGAGCTCAACAAGAGCATCCTCTCCGACCGAGTGCTGGAGACTTGTGCGTCTGTGTGTGAGTGAGCGAGCGAGCGAGCGAGCGAGCGAGCGAGTAAGTGAGTGTTTTTTTTTGTTGTGGTGGTGCGTTTATGCGAGATGTTCGCGATCATGTGTCGTTTTCGCACAGGAGCTGGGCCTGAGCTTCTACGCGGTGAAGTCCCGCCACGGTGCGGCTCGGAACGGCGTGCGGCTGCGGGGTGCCGCGGCGGCGCCAGTGCACCGGGTGCAGAGCTTGCGTGCTTTGCCTGCCTGCCTACGGCTGCTCGGGGAAGCGCTCCAGCTTTTGGGGCTCGGGACGGCACTGCTCCAAGCGGAGAGCCGTTGCAACGGCCTTGCGCGGCGCTACGCCAAAGGCCAGGCGCTGCCCCGGCACGTGGACAACCCCATGTTCGAGGCGGGGCGCGCATGATTTGCCGTACATTACATACTTTGATGGTGCAGTGCGTGAGGACACCATCGTGGGAGTGGTCCTGAAGTCCGGCGAGCCTTGCGATGGGCTGCGGCTGTGCCAGGAGACGCCCTCCCAGGGCTCCAAAGCTTTGCTCGCCGAGGCGGGGACTGGGACTGGGACTGTGAGACCGGTGCGGAGGAGCTCTGCCGCCATGCTCCAGGGCTCCTTTCCTGTTTCGATTTCCAGGCCGTCGGGCTGGGCTTGAAGGCCCGAAACTCAGACTGAGTGGCTCCAGTCACACTCGTCGTTCCTATGTTGCGGGGAGTATTTTACGTCCGGAGGCAGGTTTCTTTGCGGAGCTCGGCTTCCGGCTGGAGGAGGAAGATGGGCTCTGCTTCTGCCTGCAGGGACCTGCGCGAGAGATGGCCCATGAGGTGCCGGCGGTGAGCTCCGAGCGCTTGTCCCTCACCTTTCGGTGGTTCCGGGAGGACTTCTTGGAGGAGTTGAGGCACATGGAGGCCCGTCTCGAGGACGACCTGGCGAGCTAACAATGGACCCTCGTCTTCTGGAGCTGCCTTCATCCCGCGCCCTTCGTGATGTGTCATTGCCAACGACCTCCCCTCGGCAGACGAAACACTGGGTCGACAGTCGACAGGGAAGAGGATGAAGAGGTTCGGATTCAAAGTACTTGAAGGTCCTGCGCATCTTCGACTATCTTCTGCTCGTGCCCAGGCGCATCTGCTGTGATGGTGGCTTCATGCTACATGCAGCCGCATGATGAAAGCGCGATGCGAGGCATTGCAATGCCGTCTGTGTCCTTGACTGAAGTCCTCATAGCTCCAAGGTGCAGGCCGTTGCCGCTTTGTGCTGCTGTTCCTGCGGTGGCGTGTAGTGCTGCGGTGGCGTGTACTTTAGTGTATAGACGTATAGAGTATACAGTAGCCGTTGCAGGGTGGCCGCCTGCTGTTTCGACCGCTGCCACCTCAGTCTTCTAGCATCATGCCTTCTTTGGCATTCAAACGCATTCGCTCCAGCTCGAAGTGTTGGCATTTGGTCCTTCATCAGCAACCAGATAAGGCTTCTGTGTTGGCTCTTGGCGTGTTGCTCTCATGCTTGTGGGGCGCCGAAACAAGACAGCAATGCGGACGGGAGGGTTCACGAGGGCAACCAAGAGCTCAAAAAGAAGACTTCAACTTCTGAGCGATAAACTGGATCATACTTGACACCTGAGGGAGCTGAAGGAACAAGTTGAGGAGGAGGCATAGTAGGCTCGGGGCGCCAGTGCAATTCGTAGATATCAGTGTCGTCAGTTGCAAAGGGGCGCGCCTTTTCAGGACAGCAAAGGCTTGGATAGCTTCCCGATTGGCAACGCGTGATTGAAGAAGCAAATCTTACACTGAATCCCCTTGCCTTAACCTGAGCAGAGTGCTGTGCAGACCTGGACTGTACAAGCTCCGAGCTATAAGAACCTGTCTAGCTATAAGAACCTGTCTGTCTCGGCGCCCGCAATGCATCAATGCATCACCATTCGAATCTAAGGTCGTTCCTGCATAAAACCTGCAGCATGCAGCCTCTGCTGAAGGGCTCTATGTGCCGGTGCTGCTGCAAGCAAGTCTTTGAGACTGGGTCAGCTGGAGCAGCACCAAAAATCACCCGATTTTGTGCTGCTCCGGGAGCTCAATCCTTGTCATTGCTCGGGCTACAACATTTTTCACTGTGTCCAGAATGGGAGCTACGAGGGCTCAAGGCGTATATGGGGTTCGCAGCATCCGAGAACAAGCTGAAGACACTGCTGCTAGCAGACTCTAGCTCCGCAGAAGCACCGGCCTCTATTACGCCGCCCGTTGCAGTTGAGAAGCAGGCTGGGGCCATGACGTGAAAGACAGAAACATCTGTAGTTGTCATAAACCCTACAAGCTCGAAGCCCTAAGCATAAAGTCAAACGCACGTCGATGGCCACACTGGCCGAATAGGCCGGTCAGCCCTAGCCCTTAACTGTACTAGTACTACAGGTCTCACCCTGGTCATGCTCGTCGCGACACCTGCGACTTACTGTCCCTGCTACATCGTTTCAAGAAGTCAAAGTGCCGAAGTGGATGCCTCATTGCTGCCTGGTCGTTGTGGTTGGAGGTCACGTGGAGAACTTGGGATGCACTTGCATGGCTCGCAGCCTGTGCGAACTCAAACTGAGCATCCTCAAACCAGAGTGAATGGAGCCTCAACGCCACCAAGCAGGGGCCCTAGGGTCCTCATATCAGGTACAACTGGGCGGTCTGGGTTAAAGCCAGTGGAGAGCCCTGGACGCGAGGCTGTGGAGACTTGAGCAGGGGGCTCCGGTCCTAGGAGTTCCAGCGGCATACGGGCAGAGGGTGTTTTTTTTGGGATGGCAGTCCTATGGTGCCTACGTATGCCAGCCCCCAGCGTGCAACCTGTTTTCTCGCCCGTCCCCTCCGTTGACGTCGGAGTCGTCTGGTGTGGGAGCGGCTAGCGGCTAGATGCGCTAGATTTCAAGAATAGCGGCGCAGCCCCTGGTTCAAGCCATGAGCCGTCGCATGCAAGATGTTGAAACATGAGTGGTTGGGGCTTGGAGTGCTTAGGGTCAACAGACCGACCTATGAATTCCTTCCCATGATATCAAGTGCACCCTTTGTATTATTCGCTTGGTTCTTCACAGGACACAGTCTATGCAGGAACCGTATTTTCAAGAGCACACCGTACTTCTCTGCCAGGCGGCAAAGGTTGTTCCATGTCCGCATGGGCTGCCAACAGAGCAGTCCGGAGGCCTGCGTCGAGCAGTTGGCCCATGCCGGCCCTGTGAAAGTGGAAAAAGCCGTGGAGAAATTGAAGCAGTCAGTGTGGTGTGACGATGCCAAACAACGTCGGGCCGTGGAGGCTGGAGCGATTGAGGCCCTGGTGGCAGCCATGAGGCGGCATCACACCGACGGACGTCTGCAAGGAAGCGCAGCCATAACTTTGAGTTGTTGTTTCCTTAACCGTGAGGAGAAGTTCAGAGGCAAAGCCGCCGAGGCTGGAGCCATGGAGGCTTTGGTGAGCGCCCTGAGGAATCCGAGTCCACCTGCCTGCTCTCTCCTGGTGGCTTTAGGGCTTCTGTGCAGGGGCTCCGGTCCGGTGGCCGCGAAGTGCCGGGCTTGCGCTGTGGAGCTGGGGCTGCCAGAGCTATTGCAGAGGCCACAGCTATTGAGGGGGCTCGACGAGTACGATCGCGAACGGGCCGAGAAGTTGATCACTCTGCTGAGACCGCCAGGGGACTGGGAGAGGATCCCCTCGAAGAGCGCCATGGAGGGCTGCGATGCCGACGAGGTGGCCAAGGCGTGTGAGGACTTTGGAAAATCCCTGGTAGGTGATGAGGCAAAGAAGAGAGAGGCCTTCTCCAAAGGAGCGATGGTGCGCCTCCTTTCAGTCATGGAATGTCTGACCTCTCCAAGAGCACAGGCAATGGCAAGCCTTGCTTTACATCGCCTGTGCCTCAACTGTGAGGAGCACAGAGTGAAGGCCGCTGAGCTGGGAGCTCTGGAGGCTTTGGTGCAGTC